CGATGGCCCTCCTCCACTCTCCGGTGATGGGGTGTGTGATTGTGTGATCGTAACATTACACTGGGGAATATCTTACCAAGGCAGTCGTTACTGCCCCAGAATCTGGATCAGGTGTTGAAGCCTTATCAGATATCGAAGATATTATTTCAATCATATCATTGCGGGTTCAAAAGTTTAGAATTGTTATTATACAAAATGGTTTTTTAACTATACTGGCTTATAAATCAAGTATGTAGGTCGGTTTGCTGGTTAGTTTAGGACAAATGCTGAACTTCACGGACAATGGTGATTACCTTTTTTCTTGCTTATGATGCAAATACCTGCTATTCTAGGATAAAGTTTGCAATTAGTTTGAGGTATACTGGACAGTAACGATTGGAAAACTGGACCACGTCCGAACAGTGAAATGAATACCTATTAATGGCCGAACGCAAATCTGTAGGCTTACAGCATTACGAGCATATTTCTTTAAACTGTAACCACCGACTTAGAGAAGTCCGTGCTGTAACTGACGGCCAATGTACTAGCTAACGTTATTTTGTGTCAGTCAAGTAGCTAATTTTGAATGTGTGACCCATGTTCTCTTCTCCCGAAGGCTTCGAATAATTCAATAACCCGATAGCTCTCGGAAGGTGATCGCCTCCTAACGAATTGTAGGTGAACTGTTGATAAAAGTACATTTCAGATTTGGGGACTGCTGGGCGTCTCGGAAGATAGGTATTACTATATGTGTTATCGCACCACGACAAAAACATCCGGGTTCGCTTAATCCATCCAACTTCCTACGACAATTGTACTTGTCCTTAGAGTTTTCTACAGCTTTATCCAAATAAACGGCCATTATCGAGACATGTCTTATTATCACTATAACTTTATTTCTTTCTATAATTTCGGAACAGTTTCTGTAGAGGCAACATAAATCAGATTACTAAATACGGCCTCGTTAGTTAGCGATAAGGGTACTTCCTAATTCTTGTTTGACGATTTTTATTTTGTAGTTCAGGTTAACAACAGTTTGGAACTCTCAAACTTGACACGTTATATTCTTTTAACTTTATTCTTGCGAATAATTACTCACTAGCACATGAAACATTTTGGTTTTAAGTATTGGACTATCAAGTAGTGACTTCAAAAAACAAACATATTCAGAATCGAGAGACTATACAACACGTGTTACACTGAAAATAATATTCTTTTAGTTTCATTTCAATATTTAAACCAATGTCCGGACTAACGACGCTTTGCTACAAAATGCAAGCCATAGTTTCCGGACTAGTGATTTATCCGGACTAGCGGGATCCCATTCCTAATATCGTGTCCGGATTACTACACCTACATGTCCTAATTAACAAAGTGTTTGTTTGGTTTATGCTGTACCGAACAAACGCCAATACAAAACCATTTTGCGAATTAGCGAGGAAAAAACACTGCACTCGAATATGTAAGCATTATCAGTAATTTTCTGTATTCACCAAAAATCTTTTTTATTTTATAAGAGGCTAAACTGACGAACTTCTACTACAGAAATTACAATGTCTTAAACGATTACTGTTGTTCATTTAGATCGTAACAGAAAATGCAAATTAATTCAAGTATATATGTTATTATAAGCTAAATAAAAATAGCATAAAACTTTTCGCAAGTAAGCAAAACGACCAAATATTGTGCATGTAAGAGATGATGAAAGTTGGGGAGATATATGTGTTAATACATGCTCTTGTGAATCAGCTGTTTACAGAAAGTCACTGCGTACTAAGGGAATTACACACGACCTGATATAGAAAACCGGTGGTGACGTCACATGTTGTCGACGGTCGGACTATCCCAGTTGAATGAAGGTCACGAGATGTAAACAAACAGACTGAGGATATGTGTGGTATGAAGGAATGCACTCGACAATGTGGACTATTACCATCGATTGGTGATGCAATCACTTAGCATGGTATTTTCCATTGGGAATACTCATAACTCTTGAAGTGTGACAAGTTTGTTTTGTTCCAGCCCTTTTCGTGTGTGTCCTTGTATTGCCAAGTCATATACACTCTTTCAGATACCGCTGTGGTTTTCCAGATTAAAAAGGTAACTGCGTTTGTGCATATGTTTAGGAATAACTGTATGTAATAAATCAATTGACATAATGTTTAGAAAAAGCTGTAAATTTATATAATCAGCCGACATTATAATCAGTCGACATTATATTTTGTACTTAAGCAAGCAACATAATAATTAGTGGATTAATAACTATAGTGGATTAATAACTTACGCGTTCAAAATGTACCCAGTGAACCCATGGTATACGTACATATTAAAAGTCAGGACCGGGTCACAGGTTAAAGATATTTATACGGTTACTTGTCTTACAATCTTAATGAATTCTACTCTATCAGATATTTTGTGATAGGTTGTGGCCTTGATAGGTTTCGATTGCACCCAGAAAGGACGCGCGGTTCATGTGGGAGGGGCCACGCCCCCACACCACGTGTAACCGGAGTATCTTGTTTTCCTCTCTCTTATTTTTGTATGAGTATATATAGACTTCTATAAATTAAGTAACGTGTAATGTGATAAACTCAAATAAACATGTCACCTCAAAGAACTTCGGTTGTTCGGTTCTTTTACATTTTGATAATTTGTTGAATCATAAGAAATGTTTTAGGGTGCATCTTGTACTGTGAAGTGTCTTGCTGTTGACACGTACCGTGGTTTGAACCTGTAACTCCAAACACATGCTCTGATAACCAACTAAAGGTATCTGACATTGACCAGATACACTGACATTTAATGTTTATAAAGTTTGAAGTGGAAGAAGAAATGCTTTCAAACGATTTTGTATGCTTACGGAAATTTAAAAGGAGTGGTCTTCCTCGAGAACTCGAGAACTCGATGACCTTTCGTAAAAATTGGATAACGTAAATAAATACATAGGTGACCAGGTATGTTTTACAGGTGGTTTACTCTGCACGTAAATCGGTCCGTTGTTTGTGTCAGGTCATGATTTGTGTAAACCAGAACATCTAAATGGATTTCAAAATATGAATTTTGAATCAAATTTCAGACATACCATTACCAAAACCCTGGAATGCTTAATCGCATTTTGATGTACACAGTCCGTGAGCAAGCCTGTTTACAGTCATCTAAGATCACCTTCGTCACACTATAGTGTCGACTATGTGATGGGACTGCGGGATAGAATGGTGAATAGATAGTGGGATCGCTGGATTAGTGGTGACTAACTATTGGGACTGCGGAATCCTGCTGTCCCACTACCTAGTCACCCTTTATCCCACAGTCCCAATATAAAGTCACCATTAATCTTGCAGTCCCACTATCTAGTCACCACTGATCCCGCGACCCCACTATCTAGTCACCACTGATCCCGCGACCAACACTATCTAGTCACCACTAACCCAGTGATCACACTATCTAGTCACCACTAACCCAGCGGTCCAACTATCTAGTCACCACTAACCCAGCGGTCCCACTATCTAGTCACCATTATCCCAGCGGTCCCACTATCTAGTCACAACTGATCCTGCGACCCCCACTATCTAGTCACCACTAACCCAGCGATCCCACTATCTAGTCACCACTAACACAGCGGTCCCACTATCTAGTCACCACTAACACAGCGGTCCCACTATCTAGTTACCATTAACCCAGCGGTCCCACGATCTAGTCACAACTGATCCCGCGACCCCCAATATCTAGTCACCACTGATCCCGCGACACGCACTATCTAGTCACCACCAACCCAGCGGTCCCACTATCTAGTCACCACTAACCCTGCGATCCCACTATCAAGTCATCACTAACCTAGCGGCCCCACTATTTAGTCAACACTAACCCAGTGATCACACTAGCTAGTCACCACTAACACAGCGGTCCCACTATCTAGTCACCACTAACCCAGCGGTTCCACTATCTAGTCAACACCAACCCAGCGGCCCCACTATCTAGTCATCACTAACCCAGTGATCACACTATCTTGTCGCCACTTTTCTTATGTCCAACTATCTCTCCCCCCCCCCCCCCCCAACCACCACCACCACGACGACCAAATAAAAACTGCAGTCTTTCTATCCAGTCACTCTTAACCACGATGTCTCACCATCCCGCCTCGTTGTCATGAAAATGGCACAAGGCCCGATAATAATCTTGTTGTACGTACAGGTAGACCGGTATCAAAATGTTTGATTAAATGCTCACAACAGTAATAATTTTACATTGAATCAATATGTCCACGGCAGTGTAAAAAGACCTAATTGTTTTTCAAGCCTATCACAACCCAGGCTAATTGGTAAAACCGCTACCTATGGTACTTCTAGCTGTGGTGGCAAGCTCACACAGATAGAAGTGTCACTTTATCACTTCTCCGCAAAATGAAGCTAATTACATTTGGTTTGGGTGTACTTGTGGCGACTCCCTATCGGGAACTTCTCAGTACAGGGGAATACGGAGGGTCACAACCAGGACACTACTACTGGACCGATAAACAGCGGTTGAACTGTACTTCTCACGACGTATCTATTACAAAGTTAAATATAAATTTTGAGAAAATACATTTATCAGAGACGTTTGTTCATTGATATACACCAGAAGTGTAACTGACCTACATGCACATAAATATTTACGTATATCATCACAAACATGAAGGGTATTTTTTCTTGAAATGCCGATTGTGATCCGTAAGCATTTTTGGTGATTAAATTTGAGGAAACATGCGTAAGAAACTTTGTGATTAAGGGGAGAGAACTCAATCAAAATGTTTGTTTCCTCTCGTTTGTACATATGCAGTATTGTCTAGCAATCTAAAAAATGCTCCATGAAACATGCACGTCGAGTCTGTTTTTCAATTTCGCTGAGTTCTGGTATTACTGCCACAGTAACACATAAACAGTGTTATAAAACCTATTAAATGTGGGATTTTGACCGTCTTACATGCTGCGGCAGTACCTTGGTCAAGTCTTGAATAAGACGAAGATTTCTGGATTTATTCCTCTTCATGTATGGAACTCTGGACGAAGTAACACACACCCTATAGCACAGGACGTTGACAGGATCTTGAGTAGCAATCTTTTCCTTTCATCATCCCTGGTGATATAAAACTGAACATTTAGAGAGCGGCGTTTCTAACTTAAGACTGTCTTTGTGAAATAACTGTATTTTTTATGAATTGCGTCTAATCGACTTTAACTTCACGCAGTGCATATATCGGATACTGTTCGTTAAAGCAGTTGCCCAAGACTAGCTATATAACTTCAGATCTGATGTTACAATATTTGTATACCATATATAGTACGGCTAGACGGGCACCATTTTGTACGATTTACTATTCCTATCTCAGATTTTCCCCTTGTTTATTCCGTATTCACCTTACCAATGTCAAAAAGGACAATAACGCTGCCACCTTTAGGTGAAAACGTCGACACATCATCTTTTCGTTAGAAACTTTATGACAGGATGGAAACAAACTCGGGAACGGACGTCGGGCGGAGGTATCATGTTGATAACATGGACACTCTTTCGAAATGGTGACATGAAATGTCATATATATGGAATGCTGTATTGGTTTGTTTTAGTAAGACGAAACTGACCTGTCACGGTGTCATTTATACGAGATATCCATGTCTAGCGAGTCCAATTAATTTCGCATGCCCTTCAGTTCCGTATTAAGGTACTGAGTTCGTATTACAGAGATATCGCGGCTATTTTATCTGTATGGAGGAGTCAATTCAAGATTTTGAGGGACCAATGGCCCCTTGACCCCCTCACGAATAAACCTGAATTCCCCAAATGAATACTGACTCGCCTGTTATCCATGTACAGAATGGTGATGGTTAAGTTAACAATTATTGAACGCAATGGACAGTAAATTAGACAAACACTTTCCTTGTTGAAACTTACACCTGTATAGATTTGTCCTCAAACAATTTTGATCTCGAACCTGGAAAAGGAATGACACAACAATTAATGTGATACTAACCAAAATACAGTTCCGATTCTCTACAGCAAGTTCCATATAATACATGTCTCCTACCACAACATATCGTCTAGTTGTGATACAATACATGTTCCCTAACACAATGAGCTGTCTAGTCATGATACAATACATGTTCCCTAACACAATGAGCTGTCTTAGTCATGATACAATACATGTTCCCTAACACAATGAGCTGTCTAGTCATGATACAATACATGTTCCCTAACACAATGAGCTGTCTAGTCATGATACAATACATGTTCCCTACACAACACATTGCCTTATTAATGATTTCTATCCGATTAAATCCTTTAATTATAGTTTTAAGCTTGAACCAGTTCATTGAATAATGTTTAATTTGATTTGCTACGAGAAGATTTGTTTTCCAGCTTACTGCTATGCTTAAGTTATCGTATTTCGCATTCCGTACTGACCATTAGATAAACGTATGTGATTAGAAACTAGGGGGGTGGATACGAGACTATTCGACATTTCTTCGCCGCTGGAGAAGCGAGTCAGCTTTCGGACAGGAGATCCTAGTGATGTGTCCCTTTCAACAGATGTTAAAGTCTGAAAAAATAAAAGTATTTATAGAAATCCCCACAATATATTCCATATATGTATTATATTGTCTCGCATGAATCTGTTACAAAGTGGCATAAAGTGACGTTTCCAGACTGGTGTTGACTGCCGAGTTGCTTATTTATTTCACGTGACCTTATCTGACTGCCGAGATGCCGATACATCTCACATAACCATATCTGACTACCATGTTAGATATGCATCTCACGTGACCTTATCTAACTACCATGTTGGCTATATGTCTCACGCGAGTCTGTTATAAAGAGACATTGAATGACCTTACCTGACTGGAGCCGATTACCGTTCTGACTATACGCGTGTATCTCACGTGACCCTGTGACGAAGTAACACTGAATGACTTTACCTGACCGGTGCTGACTGCCGTGTTGACTTTTTATTTCACTTAAATCTGTGACAAAATGACATTGAGCGACCTTACCTGACTGGCACTGGTGCTGACTGCCGTATTGACTATGTATCTCACATGAGTCTGCTGCTCTGTCATCAAGGAGTGGATAAAACTTCCCATTTCGCTGAGTTTATTTTCTATCTGACCACGGAAAAACTTATCTACAACAAAGTTTAATTCAGTTCACTTGTAACATATATTAAAGGAAATTTCCGTAAGGTTAAAAACGCGAGTGTTTTGTATACAGTTTGCAAATTATAGTCGTATACACATTTCCTGTTGAAAACAAAACGAATCACTCACCAAAATGATATATGAGGTCATCAATTTTGTTGTTTCCATGCAGGCAAATGTCTGCTTCGGCATCTGACCAGTCGATAGGAAAATAGTTCCAAGAGCTGTCGGCCTGTTTGTAAAGTGTAACTGAGTGGAATATACTCTAAATGTTTTTAACGTCATACGTCATGGTAAAAAACAATCGAAAACAATTTTATAATATAAAAAAAAACATCTTTAAGAAGGAGTTTACGCCAATTTTGAAAATGACAGTGATATTTTGCTGTTATATGAAGGTGGCATTTGATACCGTGGTAACAGTAGTAAAGTACCTCTTGTTCCGTTGGACTCGTTTCCAGTTGACAACTACTACTGGTACTGTGACTGGAAAATCCCGTATCTCGCTCACTTTCGGACTCCATGGAAAACTGGCCGACCTCTGGCACAAAATTGTCCATTCTGGCCTCAAAACTTGCTTGAGAACAGCTAGTTTGGATCAGATTCTCTGCCTGTTCAGACTCTATTTCGGTCATATTTAGTTTACTGGTCCCTTTCTGTTGATTGAGATTGTGTCTCTGAAGACAACTTACTTCTGTATCAAAACCTGGAACTTGGTTTCCATGTGACAATTGTGCCTGATCAGTAATACAGTTGTCTGTATGGATATCCGTGGATGGATGAAGCTATCGAGTAACATATGAAAAGGTTAATGGTTACACAGTATTACATCTAATATACCTTTTATTGACATTTAAATGTAGAGTACGTCAGTGAATTTGTAAAATGAGATAAAAGATTAGCTTACCATTGAGGACAACTCAAAAACTATGTTTCCTGTTTTTGTGGCATGATAATTTTGTACGTTATTGGATCCAGATGTGCAACTATCCAAAGACTGGCGACCTCTGCGTCTAACATGTGGTCTGGGGTGAACGTCAGGCGAAATATCAGATGGGACGAAAACGCGCCCATCCGGAAGAAGTGCTTCTGAACCTAAGCTTGCTTCCGAGCCAGTTTCATCTGATGTCATGTCTTGAAAGATACTGTAAGAGCAGAACTCTTTTTACCTTTACACTGAACAACCAGCCTAACAAGTTAGCTGTACTACTAATCAAGAACACCGTAAGTACCGAAAGAAGTAGACTACACGTGAAATAACTAAATATGTACGTAAAAAAACCAAGCATTCCAACAATTTTGAATTAGATAGGTCTACATTGAAAACATCATTGACCTTTTCTGTTTTCCGTTCAAGAATAGACTTGACAAGACACGGAAAAATCAAGAGCTGCTCTACAACTATAGAACAATACTAGAAAAAGAGTTATCGGGAAGCTACAGACCTACCAGTCCATGGGCATGGTCATGGAAGCAAATGTCGAGTCTGGTGAAGAGTACTGTACTAGAATTTAATTATAAGTAAGTTATGAAATTGAAAGAGTTTCTTTACCTTTTAGTTTCTTTGTCATTTGCAATGGGCATTTCTCTAAAAAAGATATGAACGTTTCAACACAGTAGTAAAACGTATCAGTTGATACGATACTTGGCGGCTGAAAACTTCTAATATTCTACGACCTGACGTCAATACGCTGCTTTCAAATACATATCCGAACACACATTCAATGCAATCACACAAAAGACGTAGATGGGAAGTTATCGTACACGCAAGCGCGGGAAAATGTAAACAGACGATTTCCTGTTCATGGATACTCTCGGCAGAAACAAGCATCAGCATATATGATACTTATCCGTATTAACTTTATTAATGACGATGTTTCAAGAACTTCAAATTGTCATTGCACAAATTCAGGGTATGTTCCAACAAGGCTAGCTAGACACTCAAGAACGAATCCAAAATTCATTTTACCAGGCTATATGGCAGTATACCGTCTAGTCTCAGGGACTTGCACTTGGCACGAATTCCCAACTCATGGTATATATATGCATTATGTTGACTATAATACAGACATATCGATCATGGGTTGGAAATTCGTGCCAAGTCCCTCTGGGCCTAGCCACTTCACACTTGAGTACCATTTTCCTACATGATAATAGACATGTATTGAATTTCCCTTTCTTTTACATGTACACCAGAAGTTAGACATTTCGGATTAGATTGACAGGTTTATGGTGTCGGTTAAAAATGTCTCCTGTTGCAAATTGGTGTATGCCAAGGAGTCTGAGGAAATATGTGCTTAATACTAACACTATGCACATAAACTTACTTGCTTGTTAGCATCACAAGCTTTTCAGCTAGTGCCGAGAAATGTACAGGGGATCAATTGCAGCATATTTTAAGTTAAAATCCAACTTGCTATGAATTCCTTTTTGTATGGAAATTTTAACTAGATATGGTGAAAACGAAATTTTGGATATTTCGACTTGAATTAAGATATCACAATAAAACTATAATAAAAAAATCTCCAATTTCTTATTTGCTTTCCATTACAGCATTATTAAAAGAAATATGTAAAGCTGATAATGGTGCCAATAAACAGTGGCTTGATCAGATAGACAAAGTCATGTCACTGGTAACTAGACTACATGAGGAAGCCACACATATGGTACCAGAACAGAGAATTGCTGTTTCAATAGTTAGTAGCTTTTGAATCTTTGAAAAATGAAGAGGTTAAAAACAAAACAAACAAAAAAAACCTTTTTCCATGCTGTAACATTTATCTTTGATTTATATTGATGAAACACTAAAATGAGGTGAACAGAACAATTCTTGAAATATTATATATGTATGTCTGGTGTTCTGAAAGGTTTATAATAGAAAATTTAAATCATTTATATTCTTTCATTTGACTAGCTAGAGACACATGCAGTCGATCTTTGGAATATAGCAGTTGCTCTGAAAACCAAAGACTCTATTCCTGTCTTGGTAAATGCAAAATGTAAGTAGTTACATGTCCACCAAAGCTGTTATAGTTCACAAATCCTTGTCTTCAGTGATGATACATTGATAATGCACTACGTGTAAAATCAAATTTATCCAACATCTATTTTTGTTGTGCCAATTTGCCAAATTCAGTGCCCTATTTAAAGACATTTCCAATTGTACATGTTAGCTTTTTCAAGTGAAGTCATCAAAATCTATTCAATCTTTTTTATCTGGTGGAAGACGCTACATTGAGAATTTTTATTTTCTTGTCAACCATTAGCAACAGTGGACTGTTCAAAGTGGCTTGTGTCCATCTTCTGTCCATTGTCTTGAACAATTCTTATTTCCCTGTTTCTTAAAAAAGTACTGGATGGATCTTTCAAATTTCACATGCAGGTTCCCCTTGGTCCCTAGAATTGCTGTTTGGATTTTGGAACAGATCAGAAAAGTAAAATGGTTTCCTGGTGGTCATCTTGGATTCTGAAATGAATGTTTGTCAATGCTATTTCTTGAGAAAGACTGAATGGATCTTTTTCTAATCTCATGTAGGTTCCACTTGGTTCCTAGTCATTTTGAGACATGATCAGAAAAATAAAATGCTGGCAAGCAGACATCTTTTATTTGGCTGTCAACAAATTTCATATAATAGGAAAGAAGGGAAATTGAATAAAAGGAAAAGTTCCAACTTTGAAAGAACACAAATGGAGACTAAACAAAGGTGGGCAACAATATCCCTCTGGGATCAGTTGTTTATTCCAAGTGCCCCTCAAATTTCCACTGTTAAGACAAAATAAAATCTCAATTTCTTGCTTGTGGTATTTGGCCAACAAAACAGGGGGAGGGGCAACTGGGGAGATTGACCAAACTCTTTAAAATCCTTCTTCTGTAGGAATATGTGGTTTCTATTCCAATTTTGTCTGAAGCATCCTTTGATGAATGGGAATCAGTTTAATATACACTCTGGGTCTCTGCTTGTGGGATGGGAGGGGCAGTGCCCAATAGCAAAAAATAGAGTAAATTCTTTAAAACCCTTATTCTTCAGTAGGAATGACACGATCCTGTCCCAAGGGAGAAATATTAGAATTCATTCCAATTATTTTAGAATCCTTTTTCTGAAAGAATAAAAGGATATTGTCCAAATTTCAAATTTGAATGGAAGTATCTCTTCGGGTGCATAGGGACTTGGCACAAATTTTTCGACACGTGGTCTGTATATATGTAGTAACTATAATACATATATATGATCCATGGATTGGGGGTTCATACCAAGTCCCTGTGCTCAGGTGCAATTGGAATTTGGTGTAAAAGGTTGATTTAGTTTAGATGAAGCAATTTCTAAACCAAAAACTGGTTGGTGATACAGGCCTTATTGGTTAGTAGTCTCAAAAAAATCTATTTTATTCATTGTAAAAGTGTAAACATTGTGTCAGTATCTTTGGATGTTAATTGTTGTACTTTTATTAATGTTCTAAAAGGTAGAGTATTTTGGTTTAGGCGAATCAAAATCTAAGTGATTGGTTGATCAGATAGATAAAATAAAATAAGCCTTTTCAATGGTTTTTGACATGTTTATCACTTCCCACAATAATGGATATGATGCTGTATGACACTTAACACCCATTCTCACTTGTCAAATGCAATTCCAGGCAGTTCATTTGGTAACATTGGTAATTTATTTTCTGTAGTGAGACATGTCGCCTTTCTTTTGGTGGATTGTTCAACCCCCTCTGAGTTCAATGAAAATACATGGAGAAAGAAAATAGTGGTAATTATTTTTCATCCTCAATAAAAAAAAGTCTCTTAGCAAATGCTTTCATTAAACATCAAATAGAAATTTGATATCATTACATTCACGGAACTATTTACCAGAGTTAATGTGACTTTTAAAAGCTACTCAGAACTGTATAATACATACCATACTTATTTAGCAGCCTAGAAATAAGGCTGATATGACTTTCATCTATTGCTTTTTTGGTATAAACTGTCAACAGAAGCTGCACCATTGTCCTTTCATATGCCCACCTACTCACCTAGAACCAGAAGCTAATAACATTTACTGCCTCCTGTTCTTCTCGCAGGATGAATACTCCAGTTCTCTGCTAGCAATATTTGAATAGGTTATATAAAGCAATTAAAAGCTGTACATTGTGTTTGATAATCAATGGATATGTGTATGTGCCCACTTCATGATATTTCAGATGGGAATGAAGGCGGGTCGAGCATGGCTAGGTGAGAGCATTAACTTGATGATGGCATCCACAATTTTGGAACAACTGCAATGTGTTAACAAATACATACATATACAGTATACATATTTTGTGCCTGTTCTAAAACATGTTTTTTTTGCATACATATATTTGTACCTGGCTTTGTTTGGAGCTTTAAAGGATGTTTAATATGTATGTTCAATCTTTGATTATAGAAATGAACAACATAAAAAGCGTCATAGTTTTAAATTAACAAATAAGCAAAACTGAATAGTTGTATGATAAGCTAGTCTTACTGACTAATTTTCTTTTATGCTTAGTACAGGGTCAATATTGATTATAAATTAAAGCATATAAACATTTTTCTTAGAAAATAGTGGTTATGATTTTAGTCTGGAAGACATTGCTGGTTTCTTACTAAAATGTAATAAGTATTCACAATGTGTGAATGGATCTTTGGTTAGACAATGAATTAAAAGATGACTAAATATCTCACAGATAGCAAAGATCCTGTTATGGCGGATCAAGTCTTCCTCCTCACTGATCAGGTAAGTCTGCTACTGCTGGTAACCAGTATTGACCAGCTCCCGTTCCTCCTTCAGGTGCAGATTGCACCAGCTTTATCTTAGTTTAGGTGTATCTGAGGTGGCCAATCTGTAGCTCACACCACTCTCTGTTTTCCTCTATATCTAATGCTCAGGGAACATTGGAGAATCTAAAAATGATCTTTTTGTCCTACTCAGTCACTTTCAAAACCTCTATCATTAATTTTTCTTTCTCTTTCTCTCTGTTCTGTGACTTCTTTCTCCTTGCAACTCAAATTCATTTAACTAAGCAGTTACAAGAGTATCTTGGATACTCCAGGGATTACTTTTGCTCTCTACATCCCTGGAACATGTCATGGCAAAATTGAAGGCACAAGCAAAGCAATTTGATTGAATGCAAGGGAAAAAACCTGATCAATCACAGGGTGATTATGCTCCTTTTGAAGATTACAAAGAAGCAAAACCCAACTTCAAAGCCATTATGATAACCCCATTACATGAACTTGTGAATTGCTGGATGTACATTAAAGGATCAAACTAGCCTTTTTGTCTTGTCCACAGTATTGCACATGAAACATTCAGTTTTGCCTAAAAGAAACAAGACAAACTATTAAAGGCAAAACATCTAGCCCTATTACTGATTAGATGGTCCTGTTAACTCGCTCTGCTTGAGTAGGTAGGTCTCCTATTTAGCCCTCACTGATTACCGGTAGGTAGGTCGCCTGTCTAGACCTCAATGATTAGGTAGGTGTCCTGTCTAGCCCTCAATGATAGGTAGATATATCTTGCCATCACTGATTAGGTAGGTTTCCTATTTTGCCCTGACTGATTAGATAAAATCTTTTACCTATATTGCATGTAGTTTATTTTCCATTTGTTAATTTGTCTTGAAAAAACGGCAACTGCATATCAATCATTTAAAATTTTTATGAATTATCAAATTTGTTCAGTAATATTGTTTTTATGCCCCCAGCTTGAAATATCATGGCATATTGTTTTTATGCCCCCAGCTTGAAATATCATGGCATATTGTTTTTGTGCTGTCTGTTTGTCTATTGTCAACTTTAACCTTGCCCTAAATATACTGCAGGTAAGAGGTATGGCTTTCATATTTGGCATGTGTACTCCTTGTGGCAAACTTTTCCAGGTGTACCAAAATTTTTGACCATTTGACCTTGACCATATTGTTTGACCTACATTTGAAAGTAAAACAAAATCATTACCACAATGAAGTGTTTCACAAAGTGTGCATACAATTAGTGTATGCCTTACATAGTACAGTTTTAATGTCCTATTTTAGAATTTTGTTTCAGCTGGGGGCATAGTGTTTCATAAACACACCTTGTTGAAGATTAATATTCTAATTGAAAGAAATGAAAAGATATTGATATATGCATACTACCAGTGTACAATTATTTTATTGTTATCTATGAATTCAAATAAAATACAATATCTGTGACACACTTCCTACCTATGGTATTTCATCATTCAGTTTGTAGCTTCAGTACAGAGAGCTGTTGTAGAAAGAAAGAATGATGGTATTGCTGCTGAGGTGGTAGATAAACAGAAGACAGAAATACTACAGGACATGTTTAAACTTCTATGTTACAAAGCAGAAGCAGTGAGTATTCACCAAGAAACTATGATATGGAGACAAATGTTTAGAAAGAGTTAAAATAAGTAGCTTGTACAAATTTCATGAGTCTTTATTTTTCTGTGTTTTTGTTTCTATTTTTTTTCTTTTTATTTATAAGAAAGGAAGGAATGCAATACATATACACCTAAAATTAATTTTTGATATGTCATACAAAAAAGAAATTTCAACAATCAGATATTTTTTTTTACATTTAAGATCATTTTCAGGTATCAGAAGATCTTTGATTTCTTTGTCACATCAAATAATATCATCATATCAAATTAATAATGTAAATTAATTTTAATGTATTTTCTTTTCATTCAATTCCAATGTTTTCAACATTTTGTTGCTTTGTATTGGTTATACAATGAGCATATCTACCACTGTGATATGCCTGTTATGTGTTATACCAAGGCTTTGACACAACAAAACCAACAGAAGGCATTAGATTTGGTACTTCTTGCAAAGGAAATGCTGCCAAATTTCCCAAGAGAGGTAAGTGCTTATTTCTCAGTATCAATTATCAATTTAAATTCAATTTTTTTACTGCAATGTATTCTTGTCAAACTTTCAAAATTTCAATCATTATATATCAAAAGCTTCAAAACATTCAAATCACCATTAAGCTGCATAAAGGAACTATTAAAGGATGTTTGTCAGGAAAGTCAGTAATTATCAAAAAATGGAAGTATTAAGTTCTCCTGGTCAGAAGGACCAGTGAGCTTATGCCACTGCATTCCATCAACTTTTTCTAAAAACACTACTCATCATGAACAACTGAGTGGATTTTTACCAAATTTGGTCAGAAGCATTCTTAGTTTAAATAGTGTGACTGACCTCCCTGGGCCAGATGAACAAAGCCCAATAGGGGAAATAGAGTTAATTCTTTAAAATCGTACTCCTCCTGTAGGAATGATTAGAGTCTGCCCAAATTTGGTCCCTCACATTGTTGTGTTAAGGGGAATCAAATTTGTATAAACAGTTGGCATGAGACCAGAGGAATAGGGCCCAATGGGGAAAACAGAGCACATTCTTTAAAATCCTACTTCCCTTGTAGGAATAACTGGATTTGGCCTAAACCTGGTCTGAAGCATTCTAGGGTGAAGGGGAATCAATTTGTATAAATGATGGGTCTTGGATTCCTGGGGCCAGATGAACGAGGCCCAATAGGGGAAACAGAGCAAATTCTTTAAAATCCTACTTCTCCTATAGCAATGATTGAATTTTGCCCAAATTTAGTCAGTAGCATTCTTGGGTGAAAGGGAAAGAATTTTGTATAAACAGTTGGTGATTCCTGCAGGAACCGGGTTTTGCTGTAAGCAGTCCTTGGTGAAGGGGAATTTATTTTGTATAGACATTAGGTCTCGACACTCTGCGGCAGGAGGGGCAGAACCTATTTTAGGGTAAATAGAACAAATTCTTTTAAATCCTTCTGTAGGAATGGGAGGAATTTGTCTGAATTCGGTCTGTAGTATGAATGTTTTTTCTGATCCCCCTAGGACAGAGGGTTTGGGCACAATGGGGAAAATAGATATGTTATGTGTTGTGTGCTTGGATATTTAGAATTCTTTTCCTTTAGTTTTGAGGAAGCGATTCCAGCCAAGCAAAGCCAGGGCCTATGATCCTTTTATTTATGACAGATTTTCTTAAAGCTTACTAACAGGCTTCAACCACTGCAAGTAGATTGATATTTGAGTATGCAGATGAGCACAATTTCAACTGTTATGCATACATTTTTTTTTCAGGGTGGCTACCTCTCTATGCTGTGTTATAACTTTGGAGTGGACATGTACCAACAAGAAAAGTATGAGCAGGGGGTCATGTGGCTGCGGGAGAGTTTTGAGTTAGGCAAAGGTCGACAAACTATTGGATCCCGAAATCAAGTAAATACCAATAGGCAATACAAATACATAGATATAGTTAGCAGATTTTCTTGTGCCCAGTACAATGTAATTATACAGTAACATTCTATCCATCTTCAATTTTGTTTCTTGAGAGAGTATCAGAATTTAGAAGTAAACAAATCTAGAAATAGATATTTATACACTTATGTGGAATATAAAACTTACAGAAAGCAGAATGATGATATGCTCTCAAGTACATAATGGAACCATATTAACATGTCAGTGTCTTTGTCAGGAAGAAAATTAGCTGGTTTTCTCTGGAATCCCAGAAGATTTATAAGCTCAAAAAAATTATATACTGAATCATTGAATTTCATAGTAATTAAATGTTATTGAATGAAGAAAGGTTTGAAAATCCTAAACAAGAATTATTCTCATTTAGGATTTTTTTTATTGATAATTAATTAAATATGTTATCTCTGGCAATTTTTATATGTGCATAATTGTACTTGATTTCAGGCACGCACATTGAGGTTGCTTGCTAATGCCTACCTGGAATGGAATGCCAAAGAACATAGCCAGAAAGCCTTAAATGCTGTGACACTGGCTAATACAGTAGGTGTTGTCAAAGAATCTTCCTCATAAGTAATTTTTCAGTAATGTTCAATAGAATCCAACAAAATTAAAGTCATTAGACTCCACTAGTTATTTGTATATTTTTTGAAAATTACATCTATACTGACAGGAAAAAGAAACGCAATTAGCAGAAAGTTAATATTGTAAATTAAATCCTTGACATACACCCTTGAAACTTGACAAATGTGTGCATTTGAGTTAGGTTCCTATGGTACCATATTAAAACCACTGATGCATAACTAAACTGCGCACGCCGCTTGTACAAAAGAATAAGAGACAAAAGCACGATATCTCAAACCCAGTATAAAGGATTGGTTCAAAATCTTTGTGTGCAAATCTTCAGACACATCCGTCTTGATTTCCCACATTTTGAGCATGAACAGTTCACCGTAAAAAATGCCATGACTGTCCGAAGTTGACAGGGGTCATGCCATTGCACTTCTTATGCAAGGTACCCCGCAAAATCAGGTCGCTAATCAATTTGGAGTCCATCCATCGAACATTTGCCGTCTCATCCAAAGACTTCATGCCACCGGAAGGGTTGCAGACCGTCCCCAAAGCAATCGCCCTCGTGTGACAATGCTTCGGCAGGATAGGGCAATGCGATTTTCGCAATCGCTTTCTGATGGCCAGGGAAACAGCAAGGAACACAATTGGGCGTCATCATGTTCCAATTGATCCAAAGACAGAGCGTACTCGACTGCGTGTGTTTGGTCTAAGACTGCGGCGGCTATATGTTGGACCACAGCTTAATGCGTGGCAATGTGCCAGACGAATGCAATGGCTGAACGCACATTCCGTAAGACGCTTCCCAATGCAACGTTGGAGAAGGGTCCTGTTCTCAGATGAGTCCAGGTTTTCGCTTTACCGGGCAGACGCCCGAGGTTGTGTCTATAGACGTACCCACGAGCACTATGCATATGCTTGTGTGATAGAGAATGAGGATTGGTCATGGTATAAGGAGGGATTGTGCATAGTATCAAGACTCCTCTGGTCGTTATTCAGGGAAATCTCACGGCCGTCTGCTATAGAGATCAAGTCCTAGCGCCTCATGTTGTTCCTCTAGTACAGCAGCGTCAACTGACATTTCAGCAGGACAATGCCTGGCTGCATGTAGCGAGGGTTTGTTGTGGTTATCTTGCAGCAAACAATGTCCCCACCCTAGACTGGCCCCCATACAGCCCTGACCTCTCCCCAATAGAACATTTATGAGACAAGTTGGACAGAAGGAAAAGACGTAGGCCGAATCCTCCAATCAACGTCGCTCAGTTGGCGTTGGCGCTGGATGAGGAATGGAATCGTTTATCAATGAGGAGGGTTAATACCCTGATCAATTCAATGCACAAAAGAGTTCATGCAGTTACTGCAGCTCATGGGGGGCACGCATGATATTGGTGGGTCCAGTACGCACTTCATTTTGAAAGAGGTACTCTTGAATCAACGTCAGATTTGAAAGGTTTACTAAACGTACACAAATGAAATTCTCGTAGATGACAGAGTGGTCAACTATCTTCCAGTTACACCATAATTACATTCTAAAACCCTTTTCTATTTCCCGTAGTTGACCTGGAAATTCCTAATTGTTTTTCTTATTCCTTTCAGTATATTCATCTGTTCCATTTGCAGCTATAACAGGGAAAGTTTCCAGTTATATTTTCCTTTCTTACAGAGCATATGCAGTGAATTTTTGAAAATGTAGATTATAGTTAAAATGCTGTCATGCATATTTTTCAATAGAGGTATTTTTATTTTCCTGAAATGACTCATTAAGCAAAACTAAAATAAGATATAGCTTCATTCATTATTAGCTCATAGAATTCTGTAAATTAACCATAATGTACTTACTGTAACTTATCTGATGTTTTTACCATTTATTTTCAGTTATCTTAATTTAAGTGTCCTAAATTGTTCCACAACAAAAATAACAATACATACATTTTTTTTACCCAGGAACATCCACACCCAGCTGGATTTTATCTAAGTCTGCGTGTACTCCTGTTTATTGGTGAGGAAGATGGAGCCATTGAGAAAGGTAACCTTCTTATTATAACTGCAACAAAACATTCAGTAGTGAGCGACAATTTAAATTCACCTTTGACTCATATTTAATTAATTTCATTAAATTAATGCACATAAATTGACTATTTATAGATTGGTTTATTGGTAACAAAACTTCTCCTTAGACTTTGAAAGTTTTCCTTAAATGCAGAATCAAGGTAGAAATGTTGATTGTTTCAGCCATTGAAGATGTTCTGCATCAGTCTGATGTAACTGTTGACATTGGACTCAATGTTGTACAACTAGTGTCCCAACATAATAGGTATGTAATGATGGGACAAACATAACAGGTATGTAATGATGGGACAAACATAACAGGTATGTAATGATGGGACAAACATAACAGGTATGTAATGATGGGACAAACATAACAGGTATGTAATGATGGGACAAACATAACAGGTATGTATTGATGGGACATTTGCCTGTCCAGATTACGGTCTATGTAATGAAGGGATTTCGGCATCATGAGTTCATCCTTTCATTTGATTTTCAGGAAACTTGGGAATGATCAAATATCAATTCATTTAATTGCTTTAGTATAATTTTTAGCATGATCTATTTCTCATATGGCCAGCATTGGATGTTTCATTAGAAAATGACGCTGTCTCTTTATGATTCCTGTCCTTTACATATGTATGTAACAACATTCGAATGGTAGGGGAGCATGATTGTGATGATATAAAGATAATGAACATGCAAGACCTGAGATGTATTTACACTAATAGCAAGATGCAAATGATATTCAAGAGAGGAGCACTGTATGAAGGTTTCATTAAAGCTGTCATTTCATCTTTTGTAATTCAATAGTTTTAAGATTTTCAAAGATTTTCACACCAGCTATTCAAATTCACTCTACCTCATTTAAAAGAAAACTCAGGTAGGAAATCTTCAGACGCAATTATTGATGTGAGATCTATGTAGTGAATGTTTGATTATGTAATGTGGATTCTATAAATGTACTGAGTTGATAAAATCTCATTAATCAGGACTGATATTGCCATGGAGGTCACTAAAACTTTGTTGAAGACATTTGAGACATCACCAGATGTAGGAAGTATTATTGTCTGTCTGCTGGAGCTATTAATACAGATGGGAAAGATCAAGGAAGCTAAAGACTTTGTGGAGGAATCAATTACAGGTAGAGCTTTAAAGCTATATAAGACATTTCAGAGGTCATAACAAACCTGGTGTCTAGACTCAACATACAAATATAGACAGGGATGTCAAAGAGACTTGATAAAAAGAATCCATCATTTACTCTTTAATCCAAGGTTCAGCTTTTCGTACTGCAGAACTTCATTAATCCCAAGTAAAAAACACCTCAAAAAGACATAATTGTATGCAAAGCAATCTGTTATTTATCAACAGCTTCTTGGAGACAAATGAGATACAACCAATCAATAATCATAGATCTTGGTCAAAAGAATTAATGTAATGAAATTTGGATTGGACAATATTGTATTTCCATGTTTTTAGGTCATCTGATCTAAAGTGTCTGGATGAACCATAGCCATCATGTTTAATCCATTATCATGCATTGTGCAAAAACTTTCCATTCAAATGACTTCTTCTCAATAACCAAAAGGCGCAGGGTGCTAATATTGGGCCTGTAACATGATGGGATGATAGGGTGCTGATATTGAACAGTATAATTCTGGGATAAACAGGGATTATTTTGATTAATTTTTTCAGGGAGAGAAATTCTCTCACTACTGTCAATGTGAGAGAGATTTTGAAATTCAATGAGAGTCCTTTACAAATAACAAGTTAACAACCTTTATTTATGGCTTCAGTGGCCTTCAACAACAGTTTTAAAGACAAAAGTATCCAACGAAAGAGTATTCATGAGATGACTAGAAACCACAGAATACAAAATACAACTTATGTGTCATTAATCATTTAACAGTATGCAGTTTTGTGCGCGGTTACTAGGCCAAACATCGCAGAAATTTTCTGCTGGCCGACCATGTTGCCTGTGCCTACTTTCGGAACATTTCGGACCGCATTAATTCGCGGAAATCGTGCCCCAAAATGACCCCTGGATAAAGGATTAACAAGTTTGTTAATATGAATGACCTTGGCCCACATGCAAGGTCACAGGGATCAAAGGTGTTGAAATATTTAAACAACTTCTTCTCAATTACTAAAAAGTCCATGGTGCTGATATTAAGGCTGTAGCATGCTCTGATGGAGGGTTACTTATTTGTTCATGTGATTGACCTTTTCTCCTTTTAAAGGTCACAGGGGTCAAATGTGTTTAAGTATTGAAACAACTTCTCAATATTAAAATGATCTAGGCTGTTGATATTGGTTTTTTAAAATAAGTGAATGAAGGGATACTGATTTGTTCAAGTGATTGACCTTGACCTATATTGAAGATCTCTGGGTTTAAGTGAATTAAGATTTTAAAATTTCTTTTTCAACAAGCAATAGGTCAGATTAATGGCATTTGTGTAGAAGCATGTATAAAGAATATAATTTCAAGTTTGCAGAAAATGTTTTTATGAACCAACAATGTCTTTTTGTAAGCTGTAGAATAGTTGAGCAATTCATTTTAGGCCTACTTGGCCTCTTTCATACATAGATCTTCATAGTCAGATGACCGTTAAGGCCTGAGGGCCTCTTGTAATTGAATAGACAGGCAGTGGTATTGTTCTGCCTGTAGATGCTCATGTCTAATAGATTTTTAACTTTAGAGCATTGATGTTTTCCCTAGGAAGAAAAGTTCTTCAAAACCGAGTCTCTTTAGATTCTAGGTCAATTGAAGTAATAAAGAGCTGATTGAAGTTTTGATATTGAGATTTGTTATATATGACATAATTTTTTTGGAGGGAAAATGTGTTCAAAATTTACTTTTCAAGCTCATAACACTGGAAAACCATTAGATGCTGCTGTTAGGAAAAGGTTTCATATAGTACTATGGGAGCAAGCAGCTCTAGCATTTGAGGTGAGTCAATCAACACAGACAAAACAAATGTTGATGTCACAGCTGAAATATATATAAATGCAAATTTAACAATATGAAGGCAAAAACTACTCTGTGGAAATGTTTCATTGCATCAATCACTGCATGTCCACACAATATATCCAAAACTCTTCACTGTTGTCTTCACACGTTGGCTCTAACCTTTCACCAATGGTTAACTGGCTTACTATCTTCATCAGATATTGAACATCGAATTTGGATAGAAAAGTTCATGTCTCAAGGATAATGCCTAATGGTTAAATGTCTTTGATGTGGGGCAAGAACATTCAGTTCTTTCATGTTCTGTGCACGTCCTCCAATAGAGTATACATTGTCACTTGTAGGCGAAAGATTACAAAGAATCTCTGGAATGGTATAACTACACACTGAGCCTGTTCTCTCACTCGGATATAGAGGCACATAATCTGGCCAAATTGTACAGGAACAGAGCATCTTGTTATTTACATCTGGAACAGAGGAATGAGGTTGGTGCCTCTCATTTCATTGACAATAAATTGCTTATTTGACTGAATTTAAATAAAGGCTGTATCAGCTTATGCCGAGATATATACATCTACCCGTAACCCTGCTTCTCCAAAACGCTAGGAACTGTGACAGATAAGGATGAGGAAATGTTTAGCTGCTGAAACTGCCAGCTATATTGACTTGCTTTCAAGGTCACAGAGATGGACTCAGTGAAAACATCTGTTGAAAATAATATATTCGGTCATGATATTGTTTCACTTAAAAAGCTTTCCATGTAAGAGGCTTTGCTGATATATAAGGGATATCAAGTTTGCCCTAGCAAATGGCCTTGACCATTTTTCATGTTCAGACTGGTCAAATTTAAATGCCATCAAGATCCAGAGAGCTAGCATTGACAGCTATTAGTTGCTGGATTAAGCTGTAGTGTTAGCTTTTTTGCTGTCAGTATTTTTTAGAACATTTCCAAAATGATATATACAGAAAAAGAACTTTGAATTATTATATCATATTCTATTGAATACTGTGTACCTTGTTTGAGATATTTTGGATTTTTTCCTGGACACTAGGCACTTGAGTCAGCTGAACAGGCTGAAAGATGGGAACCTAGGTCTCTACATACCCAATTCATTCTCTATAAAGTTTCGCTGGCTGGAGCAGACATCAACAAAGGTAGGTTCAAAAGCAGATCTGGTCTTTTACACCATGGCTTGTTATTAGACATGGATATGATTCCTTTCCTTGTCGCAGTGTGAGTGAATATTATTGTTTCAGTTACTTTAAATTCATTATCTGTGAAAAAAAGTATCGCCCCATATGTTCACCCATATTTTATTACCGATCTCAGGTGTCACAAAAGTTGCTTGACTATGAGTTTGATGTCCATTGTAGCAAAATATGTGCTGCAGAAGATGTGCGAGATGGTAGCCAGCATTGACCGTGGGGACGACAGTACAGATGCACATAGCATCATGTGTCTGGCAGCACAGATGGCATTTGAGGTAATAGTGACAAACAATTGCACTGTATTATGGTGAGATTTATTTCAATATTAACTTACAAAAAGACTCTACCAATTCATAACCTACATGAATAATAATGTCATAAATTATAATTAATATTCTCTAAACTAATTAATATGATCCCTCTTGATCTTGAATTAAACCAAATATAAAGGAATTTTGTAGTAAATTGATTTACAGTAATAACAGTAAGATGGAGAGATAATTTAGTTTCATGTACTTAAATGCTTCATTGTGAATGTTTGCGATGAGACTCATCACCCTGGTATTGATAGCATTTCTTAAAAGATGTTTACCATATTCATTCCAATAAACGCCCTGGGGGCGTGAAATTTTTCAGACAGGGGGTGATTAATAGAACACATAATTTGTTGGTCGTGACATGCCATGGCTGCCACTTAAAGACATTGTTTAACAAACTAACGAATTACTCAGCAAAGAATGCATTTGAAAACTGCAGTAATTCCAACATCGTTATAGCTTTGAACATTGTTGTCAATTGCATTCTGATAACCTGAATTCTTGTATGAAATGACACGATGTCAATCGTGTCAGCTTCAGTCAAAAACGTACAATGTTCATCATCGCTTGTAGGCCTAGTTTGCATAACAAAATAAAAAAACACAGCGGTATATAAGCCAGTCTGTTTCTTATTAAATCCCACATACCTGATAACAATGTCTGGGACAAAACGAAATTACGACACTGCTTTCAAGTAATCGCCTTCGCAGAGGAGAAGGGTAAACATGCCGCCGCGAAAGTGTTTCGTGTTGACAGAAAACGAGTGCGGGACTGGTGTCAAAACAAAGAAAAATTAAAAAATCTTTTTAAAACATCTAAACGCTGTAAAGGAGGTGAGAGGCATGTCAGATATGAAGATATTGACAAAAATCTGATGAGATGGCTACAGGACAGACGGGAGGCCGGAATACGAGTGACTGGGAAAGCATTGCGGTTTGAGGCCCTGCGTATGCATAAGGCAAATGGTAGTCAATCATTCAAAGCCTCATATGGCTGGTTTTCTAAATTCAAAAAGAGACATAACATTTCGTTCAGGCGATCTACGCATGTGACACAACATGAAGTGACAGTTTTTTTAATTTCGTGTTAAGAATGCGTAGGCTACGAGAATACCCCGATAGCCATATCGCTAACATGGACGAAACCCCGGTGTGGTTTGACATGCCAGGAAAATCAGCATTGGCAATAAAGGGGGAAAAGGAGGTCAGAGTTTACAGTACTGGCCACGAAAAACAAAAAATAAATGTGACACTGGCAGCATATGCCGATGGGACTAAAATCGCCCCCCTTGTGCACATGCCAGGCATTCGTCCCCTTCCGAAAGATGACATACCAAGTGGTATTTTGGTATACATGTACGGGGCCGGACAAAAATCCTGGGCAAACGAGGAAAGTATAAAATTTTGGTTAAAAAAACTCTGGGGTGTGAATAATACAGCTAGGCGGTTATTAGTATGGGACGCTTTCCGTGGTCATCTTACTGAAGATGTAAAAAAACTGGTTTGTCAAAAATATAATTCAGACATCTGTGTTATACCCGGAGGATGTACATGTAAGCTACAGCCAGCCGATGTGTCGTGGAATAAACCCTTCAAACAAAAACTTGGAGAGTTGTATGACGAATGGTGTTTCAGTGGCCCCATTGAGAAAACCAAAGCAGGGAATCGTAAAGCCCCATCTAAAGCTGTAATGTTGTCTTGGGTCAAGACAGCATGGGATAGCATTAGCCCGGACACAATCAGAATATCGTTCAAAAAATGCGGTATCACAAATTCGCTGGAGGGTAGCGAGGATCATATTTTCCAGCATGATTCTGACGATGAGGAATTCCAGGGGTTTAGTGAAAAGGATGTCCAAGCTGCAGAGGACGTTTTGCAAAATTTAATGGGTGATGTGAACACGCCTTCTATTCCACAAATAGAACTGAGTGAAAGCGAGACTGGCGAAAGTGAAAGTGAAGACAGTAGTTCGTACGGCAGTCCCAGCCGTTAGGCCTGCAGTATATTGAAATGAACCGTGGATTAAATTGATATTACTTGTGTAGATGTCTTGACAGTGTAATTTTCTTGTGCCAAAATTCATTTGTTCATGTACATGGATACCAGGAATTTAAAATTTATTAAAAGGTAAGCTTTGTAACCTGACTCCTGAGTTGTTGAAATTTACTGAGAAAACAGGTTTGGGCATTTATTAGAGATGGGGCGTTTATTGGAATAAATACGGTATCTTTAACGCAAACAGCAATGGATTACCATGTTTGTGAGCTTTTGTTTCCGAACAAAGGGGGCAATTGACTGCATGAGTCTGTACTACTGATCACTATTTGGTATTTGGATAAAACTGTAAAGTCAACTGTCAAATCATCAAGGTATATTTTCATCTCAATAGTTCTCTTATTAATAAAGCAGGCAGTTAGAGAAACGGTTGATATCTGATCCACTGAGCTGCTCAGACTGCTGGTCATATTTATACTCAATTACTTTTGAGATGAACATGCATCTCAAAAATTTAATTGCTGACTTAACACTTTCATCCCATGGCTGATAGTGAACTGTCATCAAGATTCCATTATTTTCTCTCTACATATTACAGGTATTTAGCATAATCACAGGGGCCTGTAACAAGTACAGTTTAGGTAAACCATACAAGCCCTCATTCCCTAGAAACATTATTACATTATTATATGAGCATCATATTTATTTGTAAATTTGACAACCAATGAGCATACTGTATCTACAAAGATTGCACATAGTGAAGCTACAGTCAGTGTGTTTTTTGCGTGCAGGAGAATCACCAGGTAGTGGCTTCCTTGGCATTGGAGTCTGTTGCTAACAGTTGTTCTGACCCCTGGCAGGTTCTTACAGCCCTCCGCTGTCTCATCAGACTCAGACTAGCCTCTCAAGAAAATGGCCAAGGGTAAGTCCTCATGGCTGTCTGTTCTCTAATAAGACTGAACTTGTTACAACCAAGGGACATTTGCTTCATATATATATATTTTGATATTTGAATAGGCTTTAAATCAAGCAGGTTTCATTGCATTTCATTTGTATTTTTAGGACAGACCCTTCCAGTACTGATAGAAACATCCAAACTGGTAAGATGTTAAATTATCATAAAATGTTTATGTTTTACTGGTTCATTTCTTATTTTTCCAATTTCTAAACATTCATTTATATAATGTATTAGGCATTAACCTTTCAAGGTATATCAGTTATTCCGTTTGTATCAAGTTTTGAATCCATTTAAATTTTCAGAAATCAATGCATTTTAATCTGTGCTATAAAATTCACTTTATGGACACATGTGAATGTTTCAGCTTACCACAAATTACTTCAGCTCCAAAATGACAGTAAAGAGAATCAGATTCAGATCCAAAATGAAGCCAGTTGGTTCATCAAAATTGGTAATTTCTTTATTATATAGTCTCTGTAAATGAATACTGGAATAAATCACAACTTTAACTTAACACCACTCTCTATTTATGACCAAATGAAGTTGCTTTAAAGTATATGTATTAGGAGTTCTTGACAAGAATTTTGTCATCCATTGTTACTGTTACAGCTTGGAACCTAGCCTTGCAGTGTGATGAGAGTCCACAACGAATGAAAACACTTTTCTCTCTCTGTCAGCAGGTAATATAAATTTAGTTGTCAAACTGAAATGAAAGCTGGTTTGAGTTAAGGTTGAAACTATGAAGATCTATTCTAATATAGAAACTTATCTGCATCATCGTAATGGCAGTCCTGACAATAAAGGTTATTATAAAGTAGATTGTGTCCACAGCTATCATCTCTGTGTCCTGACGATGACGTTAACCTAACAAGACAGAAGACTTGCATGCTGATGGCAGCTGCTGCTAGTCTGCAGGTGGCGAGGGTGTCAGAGGACGAGGCTGAGAAAGTAACTCCTTATCTTGTACTAGTGGAATCTTAGTTATAAATTTAACAACTTTTCAAAAATGTGAAACATAATAAGTTATCTATTGTCAAAGATGTTTTTGAGCAAATTGTAGATTTCAAAAAAGTTTTTGAATATTGTTTTCTGAAGATAAGTTGTGTGCCTGTTCTATCAGTTTTGAGGTGATCTTTACTCTAAATTACCATTCTGTCTAATCTATCTCCTTCAGTGATCCTGCTAATGTATAATATGTTGATTGATAAAAACTGATTGTAGAGGTCCAAATTATCACTGACCTGTAGCATTTACACCATGTAATATATAAAGCTGTCATTCTATCTGTTGTTTGATGGAGTGATGACAGTGCTTTAAAACATGTATACCTGATATTTAGTTATCTCAAGAAACTCAAAGCCAATGTTATAATAAAAAGGTGTTGTTTGTATTTTAGAGGTACAGTTTGGAAGAAGCTTTGCAACATGTGAAGAACTGTAAAGGTCTGATCAACCAGCTACAACACAACATGCTGGTTCCTACAGGTAGAGTTGTCTCCCATATGAAAAGTAATCTGATATATGATACATTTGTAAATTAACTGGCACATATCAGTTCACTCATATCTGCTTGTCTGCGATATCTTCACTTGAATATGACTTACAAGCCATATGCTCTTCAAAGAAATTTCGGCAATTTTGAACAACCATTTTCATCTGACCATGAATTATAATCTGGTCCAAAGGAGTGTACATGGCGGTTGCATCTATTTTCAGTCTCTTTATTTTTTTTACATAAATAATAGGACTGATTGATTAAGTGAATTTAGAACAAATTTGGTTTGGTGCATACTATCAAAGACTCAATAAAGACATAAATTTGAATTGCATATTTTAATTTCTGTAACAAATAGAATCGCTTGTGTGTTAAATATGTGCCTAAAAGACATTCTCCTGTCCACCACACTTCTTACAAATCAAATTTTATCAAGAATATTTCAACAAAGATATCATCATTTTACTTTTTGTTGATACATTACAGAGAACAAGGGAAAGGACACAACAGAGACTTTGCTATTGTTGTATGAGTTTGAGGCCCAAGTAAAGCTCAATGATCCTGTGTCAGAACAAACACTGGAACAAGCTCTACGCCTTCCAAACCCAGACCCAAAGATGTTCGAAACACTGGCTGGTATAGTTGCAGTTTACTTCCATCAATAAGATGAAAAGTTGCACCTTAAGTTGTGTAATATCAAGCTTCCACAAGTATACAGTTTTTTATGTTGCCTGCCAAAGGCGCCATATAGCTATTACTAGATCAGCAGTGTCGTGATCAGCAGTGCCGCCGTCATCCACTCCCCAAAAGTTTTTTCATAGTAAATTAAGTTCACTTTGGCCAATCAAGATCAAACTAAATACAGTGCTTCCTTACTAAAAGTGCTTGCATGGGATTGCTTTTCAGGTCCAAAGTTCAGAGGTCAAGGTCACCATTACTTTGCTTTTTTTCATGATAACTTCAGTACCATTTGGTGAATCAGCATCAAACTTTATACAGTGGATCCTTTTTGGAAGGTTGAAGGTCAAAGTTCAGGGACAGTATTACAATATACAGGGGATTGCCTTTCATGAGATAACTGAAGTTTTCTTTGGACAACTACTCAACCTTCATGCAATGCTTTCTTACTAAAGGGGCTTGCTTGGGATTGCTTTTTCAGGTTGAAGGTCAAAGGTCAAGGTCACTTTTACTATAAATAGAAAAAAAATGATTTTGTAGAATAACCTTAACAAAGGTATTTGCTTGGGATTGCTTTCAGGTCAAAAGGTCAAAAGTAAAGGTCATTGTAGCAAGAAAACTGATTTTGAAAACTTCATATGGTAATTCTTAAGCATTTTAGGTGGGTTGTTTCTGTTCCTGCCATATTTGGAGCAAATCAGTATTTTTTTAAAAAATTCTAATTCTGTGAGTAATTGTGATAAATGGATCTATTCTCAGGATTTAGTTCCTTTTGACACTAAATATCTAATCTGCAAGTTTACTCATCACATCTCAAACAAAAGGACAAATTATATAAATGGAATAAATACAATGAATATCTATAGCTATTGTTCCATAAAACTTGTCTTCATAAACCTTACCGAGCAGGCGAGACATCCATTTTCATAGAATCCTTGTCTTTTCATTTCATAATTGGACCCTTCCTTTTTTTTTTTTAATCAAATTTGGTATACATGTTATCTCACATGTTTCAGCCCTGGCAATGGAGCCCCCAGCTCAAAACAAGAATGTAAGTGTGAGAGCAATAAAAGTAGCCATCAGGAAGCACTTACAGATGCCTCAGCCAGACTTTAACAAGTGCAGGTAACACAAGCTGTTAAACTGGTGATTATGTACCTGTCCATCCCATCTGTCACATTCTGTAAACATACTTTAATAACCTCTCAACAGGTTTAATTCTTACACTTACTCAACAGTATCATGATATCAAGGGGAGCAAGGGGTTTCATGTCTTGCACACATTTTCTAGTTTGGTTTGTATCTTTTCTAATCAGGTGGATTGTAAATAAGCATATTTAACTTATCGTTCTTTAATGAAATCTTCTTGTCACAGCAAGCTCTTCCATAGCCTGGTGCAGCTGTCCCTGTCAGGGGACTCTGGAGCCAAAGGAGAGGCTCACATGTATTACTCGGAGATCATTGAAGTTATTGAAAAAAGGTCACAGGTTTGTTATTAGGTAGTGTTCATACTAAACAGGTTGCAGAAATAAGAATATTGGTATGTACTTGTGCAGTGTTCACACTGCAGAAGTTAAAAGCTAAAAAGATAACAGATATATACTTACTCATACTCTGTTAGGCAGTGCTCAAATTACACAGATGTGAATGTAGGCAGTGTAAAAAAAGGTAATAGCTTGATAAGTCTTTTTTACTATACAGAGCTCAATTACACAAACCATCTATCATTACCATGGAATACTAATCTTTGTCCCTCCACTCCCTGAAATTTTTTTTTTGCAAATGGGTGAAAAAGATCTTGAAATTTTTCTTTCTAAAATGAGGAATTGTTTTACTGTGTTACAGGGTCAGTATCCAGAGATGGAGGTTCTCTGGCTGATGACAAAGGCATGGAATTGTGGTATCAACTTTTACAGGTACACATGAATAATCTTGAGCATACACAGAGATCGATCTATGTGTTTTTTATTCCTTGAGAAACAAAGATAGAGGAAAGATTTGTACAGGTTTATATTTGTTCTGTTATTCCATCATTCCATCTAACAGCAAATCATCCCCATGTTGTGTTGAATTAGACTAAACTTTTTAAATACATAAATCTAAGATCTTAACAATCACTTTCCACTGATTCCCTTACCCATGAAAGTTGATCACTTTTATGCTCCTCGAAAGGCGAGCATATAGTTACTGCTTTGTCCATTTGTCCGTCCTTGTGTCTGTCTGTCATTATTTTGTCTGGAGCATAACATAAAACCTATAAGAGTTACCAACATAAAACTTCATAGGTAGATGGATCACAACAAGGAGAAGTGCAGTGCATAAAAACCATCACTCTCATTTGCATTATTTAGGAGTTATTGCCCTTTGTTATTTTTCAAACTTAAATTTTGTCTGGAGCATTGCACTAAAGCTATATAAGTTATCAACATGAAATTACATAAATAGATAGATCTTAACAAGGAGAAGTTTAGTGCAAAAAAACCATCACTCTCTTTTGCACAATTTAGGAGTTATTGCCCATTGTTATTTTTAATAGTTAAGTTTTTTTCCAATTGGGGAGCATAACCTGTCTCTGACGGCCCTTGTAACTTTAATGCACTAATCATTGAAGAAACTTATATTTCATGCTCAGCAAGGAAATTGCTGTTATCTATTGCATTGATGATATATTAGGTATTGTAGAATTGACTTAGGTGTATTGCTCTACTTCAGTTCAGGACGGTGTGACGAGGCTGAGAGATGGTGTAGCACAAGTCTTAAACTGCTCAAGTACCTCAATACCATGAGAGAGAATTATGAGGATCATGTAAGTACACCAACGGTCTAAAACTCCTAATGGATCTAATACTATCACAATATACGTACTACCATCAACTGTTTAAAACTCCTCATTGATCTAATACTATCACAATATACGTACTACCATCAACTGTCTAAAACTCTTCATTGATCTAATACTACCACAATATACGTACTACCATCAACTGTCTAAAACTCCTCATTGATCTAATACTACCACAATATACGTACTACCATCAACTGTCTAAAACTCCTCATTGATCTAATACTATCACAATATACGTACTACCATCAACTGTTTAAAACTCCTCATTGATCTAATACTACCACAATATACGTACTACCATCAACTGTCTAAAACTCCTCATTGATCTAATACTATCACAATATACGTACTACCATCAACTGTCTAAAACTCCTCATTGATCTAATACTACCACAATATACGTACTACCATCAACTGTCTAAAACTCCTAATTAATCTTATACTATGGCCAAACAAGTACCTCAAACTGTCTGAAACTCCAAACCAATACTAGGTTATACAAGTACCTCAAACTCAAATTCAGAATTAAGAATTCACCAAATATTGCTATTTATAAATTCATTATGCCCGGCTGTCATATATGCAGAAGGAAAGGACTGTAGGCATGATCCAGGCTGGAGAGTCTCCATGTTGAATGGCACAGCATTTTGGTTGCAGTGTAACTACAATTTGCCAGTCGATATGTTATTTTAATCAAACTTGATCAATATCATCAGATAGTTCCAAAACTGGCCAATCTTGCAAACTCAAGAATTGACTGTTGTATATGATTAATACACTTGCTCAATTGATTAATAACCTCAGTAGAGATGATAATTAAATTCTTTGGGCATTAAGTGTCTGCCCAAACAGTCTGCAAGAGGTTGAAGGTCTGCCAATTGAAATTGTGGCATTTCTACACTGGACCCATTTTTTGCAATGTCACATAATTATCATTACTGGATTAAAGTTCATCGTTGTTGATGCTATTTTCGAGTAAGGCGTTGAACCAGCACTCACCAATTGCATCAACTGAACTTTCCTACAGCAGAATAATATGCAGGTATCAAATTGGTCATCAAAATTACCTGATTTATCATTATTTGAGCATGTTTTGGATATTCTTGCGCTGTCCTCTAGAGATTATCAAAATTAGCTATCAAACTTGGAGGAACTGGCCCTAGTCTTGAACAATTAATGGAACATCTCTCCTCGAAGTTTCAGCCAGTTTGTGAGTTCCAAGTGATAATAGTGGTAATACCTTTCACTAATGGTGTTGATATTTAAATTGACCCCAACATCCTTTAGCATTGAATTAAACCAACTGACAGCTGTTTTATCCTAATCTATCTGTTATTTATTCGTACATGATCGATAAGGATTTAATATGAGAATAATTAATCGCAACTTAAATTAGAGTCACCTTTCTTTACTTCTTTCTTATTGGTTTAGGACATATATTTACCTTAATTAAATAAATGCTTGTGATATAAACCAACTCATCACATTAGGCTAGTGATTGCTCTCTGAAATATTTTGTTTTTAAGATGAATACCACCTATGGCCAGATCTTGGCAAGGATGGAAAGATTGGGAACACGAATACAAGGGAAAGGTTTGGAGGAATAAAATTACAGACAATATAGACCAGAAAAATTCACCTGGCAGATCTGTCAACTGTGTTCGATGGAAATTAGATTGATGTTACATCTTGCTGAATTAACTTTAATGAAAACTGTTTTGTTCAAGTGTATTTATGTTATTTAATCAATTTTAATGCAGTGAATTGGAAATTAACTGGCTATAGAGAAACAGTGATGTTTGTTAACCTTACGAGTTGCCCTTCTTTGTCAGCTCCTACGGGGCAGGGGAATTCAGAAACTTGTCAAAATGAAAGTGTAGCTCTGCAGTAAGTAAAATGTCAATGAAAAAAGGTAGTTCATTAAAATATCACCATTAAAATCTTCATGTTATACTGACATGCATCGGTAACATATCAGTGGCAGTGAATAAAGAAAAAAGAGTAATATGTATAGGTATATATATGTAAACATATTTGTCAGCAACAGTATTAACCTATAAATATGACCAGTAAATAGGTTTACTGACAAGTGTATACCTATCACCCCTATTTCTTTGAGAGATTTCCACTCTCACATGTATTTCAAATCAATTTCCAGAAACTTGTTCATTATTCATAATCTTTACCTTCAAAATTCATAAAATCAGTCAAAAATGAAAACATCAATTCTCTATTACTTTTGAATAAAGTTGAGAAATATGTAAGTGATATTTTCTTCACATTACTTTTTCATTGACAATGTAAATAACTGACACTCTTTAATTTATTTGTTTCAGTATCTTTTGAACAAAGAAGACAAGCTATAATTTAAAAAATCTTTAATTGATAATAATCAATATATGACATGATAATAAACAAACATTGTCCAGTAACACAGCTGAATGTGAACATGGTACCATCACAGTGATGTGCTAATAAAATGTGTACATGTGCACCAAAAAGTATTCTCCTCACACAACCACACTTCACTCTCTCTCCTCATTTGTGCATGATAATCGTTTTACAAAGACTCTATTGTTAACATCTAGCCACAAATTGTAACGCTTTCTCTCAGTCAATCATATAAAGACTAGATCAGGTAGCATTTCTACAACTTGAGTGTGTATGCTCACCTCGAGATTTTCTTCCAAGTTCCAGATAGTGCTTTATAAATAATCTTTTAAATACTTTTGAGATAGGTGTATTCTCAAGAATATCAGTTATGGTTTATTGAATTACAGTTAAAAACTTGTTCATAAAGACTAAGTTCCTTAATGTAACCACATATAAGTAGTCTATATCTTGCTCCACAAGACATGATCACTGTTTTCTATGATGTCTCGATGTTTTTTCCAGCTTTCATGTAGTTCATCCAGTTGCTACTCAGACATTTTGCCTCCTGCAAATATAAGTAAATAACTGTAGCATAAAAATTGAACAAAATAACATGGCAAATACTAATGTCATTCTGAACGTTGTCTTTTGAAAAGATATCTTTATTCTGTATTTTTCTTGTTTCAATGTGTTTGGATAATGAAAGAATATCTACAGAGGTTATAACATTTAGTTTTGGGAAAATTTCACAAACTAATATACTAAGCAGTTTTATCGAGTGTCTGGAGACCAGATTATGATGACATATATTTCTCTTTACCTAAGAATGCTCTAAACAGAACTTGGTTAAAATGAATTGCATTTAGACAAAATGGTTTAGAAAGTATTTATACCTAGCATATCACAAAATGACATATAGGAAGCAACATATGTATATGGAATGTAAACTTGTTACTTACAATGACCTTTGTCTTGCCTCTGATTTCATCCATGGTGAGGGGCAGTGGTGCTGGTTTTGGGCGACTTGTTTCTCTAGATTGCAACATTCTTCTATGAAAAGGAAAGAAATAGTCAATTAAATAGTACATATTCATCTTTCAGTCAATAAAAAAGCTGACTAATAATAAATGTGATGTGTAGATTACTAATATGTAAATCATTTTCATGCTCTGCCCTTTTAGGAATTTGGCTCGCATTTACCCCATAGTATCATAACAGAAATTTCTACACCTAATCATATTAAGGCGCTCATTGGTCCAGGTTACATGGTCATGTAAATGCGACATTTGACAACTTCTTCAAAAATACAATGATGAATACTTTTATGTACATGGGAGCAGGGGATATACATGTCCTAAAAACATATGCTACTTTCATTATAATCCTCTAAATTTATACACGATAGTTACCAGGAAATTTCAGCTGCATACCAAGCTCAGGATTTCACTGAAAAGCAAAAATTGAGATTTAGAACTAGTTACCTGCGAAGCCCTGGTGTACTGACAGCCTTACTCCCTCTAGACTGTAGACTCCCACGGGAACGGAGGCTACTTCTGGATTGTAGAGAGGTCCGTGAGTGAATACTGCTGTTACTAGAAGATCCCCCACTGTGGTCATCCTGCATCAGCTGACCACCAATCTCTGCTACCTGGAGGTCTTGCTGGGAGATGTACTCATCCTCAGGAGCAGGCAGCACTGATATCTACAGACAGAATTAACACAGGACAATGTAAAGTGAGGAATATCTACAAACATATGACAAAGTAATCTGAGCAATACAGCACAATATCTACAGTAAAAAGCAGCACAAGACAAAGTAATCTAAAGAGTACAATATCTACAGAGAGGACAAAAATCAATATACCTTTAATTATTAACTTATATTACGAAAGTTGGCATGAACAATATTATTATTCAATATTCTATCGCAGATATCATGCAATTATCATACACCATACTCTGGTCAGCATCATACCAAAAATGTCTCATGCTCACCAAGTACCAGGATTGATCTTTAGTCTCGCTCTCATGATTTACACTATTCTTGTGTCACAAGTATCAAACGTTATACCATTTTATTATCACACAATTAACTAGCTTACAAAAATCACAACCATGCTCTAGTCTGGATCCTCCCCAGCCAGGGAGGACTTGCATCATCTCTAGCACTTGTCATACACTGTTGATTCTAAAGCTTGATATATTCCAACTTCAGTGTTATGTTGATTATCATAAACAAGTCAATTGCATCATTTAGGTTACTAAATGTAGCAGACCACCTCAACTTCCAGAGAGAATTGAGACAGATCATTTTATATTTCTGATCAACAGAATACATATGCAGTAGCAATAAGCACTTTGAAATGTGAAAAATACATTTAATATTTCTGATGCAAGCTAAATATTTTTCAGTTGAATGTTTTCACTCCGTTGATAGCAGCTAGGTCTAGTTTCCAGGCTTTTCATATAGCAACAAAAAGCTAGGCTATATAAGTATAGGGTATATATTGCATCACCTCAAACACAAATTCTCTTCTAATACAAAAATCTCATATGTACAATGCATGCTTTTTTACACAAAACAGTATAATATGAAAAATGCAGATATCAAATCTGACAAAACAAAGCTCAAAAATCTTGCAATTTTTAGAGAATATTTTGTATAACATGGCTTTTTGTAAAGTGTCACACAAAATGTAATTGATAATATACTGCAGTGTGTGGTATAGATTGGGCACTCTTGTGTATTGAGTGCTGTTTGGTTTTAATGTTTGTACAAACCAGACGGTGCATTACATGAAACCTAGACATTGTATCTTTAATGATGGTGACACCCTGTTACAGTGAGACACAAAAATCACTTTTGTGTGATGAATAAACTCTAATTCAGTAAGTAACAAAACATTACTGATGTTTTGAAAAAAAATAAATAGATCAATAAAAAACTGTTACTTTATGATATATAAGTTAGCTCAAGTTTCCTCAGGCCTCAACACCAAATGATAGACATATTAACGTAGGGAGAGAGGAAATTCTGGCCAATATCCATTGTCTTTGGCAAAGTTCTTATGTCAATTGTTATCATGTGAGCGAAGTTTACAACCGTTCTATCTTACATTGGATAGAGAGGTTAATAAATGTTTACTTAAACATCTGATCAAAGATCTCTGTAAAATTAGCAGAACTCATCATTTTGATCCAAGTGAAGAATGTGTAAAAAGGATATAGAATCATTCTTATTTAGGTGTGCTAGTGTCTCCAACATCAATGCAAGCTAATAAGTGCATGTCAATACATGATGTATATAATTGAGTTAGTTTTGAACACAAAATTACACATCACAACTCTTTAAGTGATAAACATACAAGATTCTGCATTCCACTATACACAGACGCCTGAAAACAAGAAGACTGAAATGTTACAAAGGGCTCCTGATGTAGAACTAGGAAATGAAATGTGACAAAGGGCTCCTGATGTAGAACTAGGAAATGAAATGTGACAAAGGGCTCCTGATGTAGAACTAGGAAATGAAATGTTACAAGGGGTTCCTGATGTAGATCTAGGAAATGAAATGTTACAAGGGGTTCCTGATGTAGAACTAGGAAATGAAATGTTACAAGGGGTTCCTGATGTAGATCTAGGAAATGAAATGTTACAAGGGGCTCCTGATGTAGATCTAGGAAATGAAATGTTACAAGGGGTTCCTGATGTAGATCTAGGAAATGAAATGTTACAAGGGGCCCCTGATGTAGATCTAGGAAATGAAATGTTACAAGGGGCTCCTGATGTAGAACTAGATAATGAAATGTTACAAGGGGCTCCTGATGTAGATCTAGGAAATGAAATGTTACAAGGGGTTCCTGATGTAGATCTAGGAAATGAAATGTTACAAGGGGTTCCTAGAACTAGATAATGAAATGTTACAAGGGGTTCCTGATGTAGATCTAGATAATGAAATGTTACAAGGGGCTCCTGATGTAGATCTAGGAAATGAAATGTTACAAGGGGCTCCTGATGTAGAACTAGATAATGAAATGTTACAAGGGGTTCCTGATGTAGAACTAGATAATGAAATGTTACAAGGGGTTCCTGATGTAGATCTAGGAAATGAAATGTTACAAGGGGCTCCTCAAGGCTCTAGCAAACTGTCACCTAGGGATTAGTAAACTATTGCAGTAAAATATGTTTCAATGGACAGCATTAACCAGAATAATTTCTATATTTCAAAATGTGTATTGAAGGTAGTGGGGCTGTACGTAGATAATAAAAACAACATGGCTTAATAGAGAATGATGTCATGAACAGCTACAAAAATATGGTGGCCAATTGATTAACATGTAGATTAAGGGAATGTCACTTACCAGTTCATGACAGAGAGCAATATGAAAATTTCACAAAACACTTTATGATAATTTGGAGGGTTTAGAGATGTTCACCAAAAGCTAAATGTTTTGAGGGTTTAGAGATGTTTGTCAAAAACTTAATGATAGTTCTGAAGGTTTAGAGATGTTCATATAAACCTTAATGATAGTTTTGGATGGTCAAGAGATGTTCACCAAATACTAAATATTTTGAAGGTTTAGAGATGATTGCCAAAAACGTAATAATAATTTAGAGGGTTTGTTCACCAAAACTGTGGTTGATAGTTTGAAAGGGAAAGAGATGTTGGCAAAAACCTTAATGATAATTTGGTGGGTTAAGAAATGTTCACAAAAGCTTTAATGATAGTTTGGAGGGCTTAGAGATGTGACTGATGAGAATATATTTTTCTCATTCTACTGAGACATTTACACTGTGTAGAATGAGGGGAAAATTATTGTTTGGGCTCAGACGGTTGTACATGTAATGGGGAAAAGGGTGTAGTCAATCAGGACTCTATTATAGGTATATGTACAAAAATGTATTGAGGTACCAAATTAAAATGGTATCAAGTTCAGTGGATTTGAGGAACATTGGGACTTATATCGTTATTCAGGAAAATCAGTTATAGATCTTATAGGTGAATCGTTCAAAGGTTTTGTGGGGGAAAAGTTGGGACTCGAAAATCAATACAATTCTTACGTTAAAAACAGATGGCAGGAGCTGAAAAATGATAGTGTAATAATTTTTTTATGAATTGAGCTGTATTGTGTAATCTTCCATCAATATCAGCAGCAACTGTACGTTGTGAATTGAGGCAAGAATGAGAAAATCACTCATCCTATATTGAATTATCATTTGAATTTCATGTTAATTATGGTTGTAAAAGAAACTGCATGTGTCTGGCTGACCTACTGACTGAATACTTATAATGTTAAACAGATCTTTTTGTTGGTCTTTATTAATGTTACAGTGTATTACATCTCGTAATATTCACCTGTGCTGTTACAAAAATATCAAATTTATATCTAACGCTGTATAGTAATACAAATAAGACAAAGAATGTATTACAAACAATCTAGAATCAGACATGCCGCAAAAAACAGCTCCGACATTATAGATCTACATAGCAATAGTTACATAAAGCAGAAAAGACCATTATAGATACATCCACCACTGTACATATTACAATGGCAATACCTACCACATCCCGAAGTGAATTTCCATCCAGTATACCACCAAACTCACTATGGTTTTCCATTATTCTGTATAAAAAATAATACAGATTTATAAATGAAATAATGACATCAAGAGAGGATCTTGCATATAAAACACATCTAGGTATTTTTCATTTCACCGGGCAACTGCAGAGGTAAAATGTAGCATTTATGACAAGTTTCATGAATCTCATTTGAAATGGAAATGAATATAAGATTGTATCACATAACCAAGATACTACTTAATAAGACTGATATAAAATCTCAATTACAGATATTCTTGCTCCTTAACACTTACTTAGATGTTATGTATATGACACCATGGTGTTATTCACTATTGAAACAATGGATTCTTCAGCCAATCACAGCTCTGCTAGGTGTTATTACAAGTTTGGTTATAGCATAACATATTAACAGGGTTACAAGTCATGTAAAGCATAACCATTAAGAATGTCCATAAAATTCTGTGAATATATGAAAGAGGAAAAGATGTTCAGATAAAAGATAATGGAAAACTTGACAAATGAGAGAAATTAACAGAAATTGCTGAAGTCATCATTTTTTGAATAACAGATGAAAAGAGACCTTTATCTTAAGTAACTAGTGCTGGGTATCTACAGTAAATACTGTCCAGTGTTGTACCTAGATGACCAGAGCCAAGTGTCTACAGTAACTACTGTCCAGTGTTGTACCTAGATGACCAGAGCCAAGTGTCTACAGTAACTACTGTCCAGTGCTGTACCCAGATGACCAGAGCCAAGTGTCTACAATAACTACTGTCCAGTGCTGTACCCAGATGACCAGAGCCAAGTGTCTACAGTAACTACTGTCCAGTGCTGTACCCAGATGACCAGAGCCAAGTGTCTACAGTAACTACTGTCCAGTGCTGTACCCAGATGACCAGAGCCAAGTGTCTGCAGTAACTACTGTCCAGTGCTCTACCTAGATGACCAGAACCAAGTGTCTACAGTAAATACAGTCCAGTGCTGTACCCAGATGACCAGAGCCAAGTGTCTACAGTAACTACTGTCAAGTGCTGTACCCAGATGACCAGAGCCAAGTGTCTACAGTAACTACTGTCCAGTGCTGTACCCAGATGACCAGAGCCAAGTGTCTGCAGTAACTACTGTCCAGTGCTCTACCTAGATGACCAGAACCAAGTGTCTACAGTAACTACTGTCCAGTGCTGTACCTAGATGACCAGAGCCAAGTGTCTACTGTAACTACTGTCCAGTGCTGTACCTAGATGACCAGAGCAAAGTGTCTACAGTAACTACTGTCCAGTGCTGTATCTAGATGACCAGAGCCAAGTGTCTACAGTAACTACTGTCCAGTGCTGTACCTAGATGACCAGAGCAAAGTGTCTACAGTAACTACTGTCCAGTGCTGTATCTAGATGACCAGAGCCAAGTGTCTACAGTAACTACTGTCCAGTGCTGTACCTAGATGACCAGAGCCAAGTGTCTACAGTAACTACTGTCCAGTGCTGTATTTAGATGACCAGAGCCAAGTGTCTACAGTAACTACTGTCCAGTGCTGTATTTAGATGACCAGAGCCAAGTGTCTACAGTAACTACTGTCCAGTGCTGTACCCAGATGACCAGAGCCAAGTGTCTACAGTAACTACTGTCCAGTGCTGTATTTAGATGACCAGAGCCAAGTGTCTACAGTAACTACTGTCCAGTGCTGTATCTAGATGACCAGAGCCAAGTGTCTACAGTAACTACTGTCCAGTGCTGTACCTAGATGACCAGAGCCAAGTGTCTACAGTAACTACTGTCCAGTGCTGTACCCAGATGACCAGAGCCAAGTGTCTGCAGTAACTACTGTCCAGTGCTCTACCTAGATGACCAGAACCAAGTGTCTACAGTAAATACAGTCCAGTGCTGTACCCAGATGACCAGAGCCAAGTGTCTACAGTAACTACTGTCAAGTGCTGTACCCAGATGACCAGAGCCAAGTGTCTACAGTAACTACTGTCCAGTGCTGTACCCAGATGACCAGAGCCAAGTGTCTGCAGTAACTACTGTCCAGTGCTCTACCTAGATGACCAGAACCAAGTGTCTACAGTAACTACTGTCCAGTGCTGTACCTAGATGACCAGAGCCAAGTGTCTACTGTAACTACTGTCCAGTGCTGTACCTAGATGACCAGAGCAAAGTGTCTACAGTAACTACTGTCCAGTGCTGTATCTAGATGACCAGAGCCAAGTGTCTACAGTAACTACTGTCCAGTGCTGTACCTAGATGACCAGAGCAAAGTGTCTACAGTAACTACTGTCCAGTGCTGTATCTAGATGACCAGAGCCAAGTGTCTACAGTAACTACTGTCCAGTGCTGTACCTAGATGACCAGAGCCAAGTGTCTACAGTAACTACTGTCCAGTGCTGTATTTAGATGACCAGAGCCAAGTGTCTACAGTAACTACTGTCCAGTGCTGTACCCAGATGACCAGAGCCAAGTGTCTACAGTAACTACTGTCCAGTGCTGTATCTAGATGACCAGAGCCAAGTGTCTACAGTAACTACTGTCCAGTGCTGTACCTAGATGACCAGAGCCAAGTGTCTACAGTAACTACTGTCCAGTGCTGTATCTAGATGACCAGAGCCAAGTGTCTACAGTAACTACTGTCCAGTGCTGTACCTAGATGACCAGAGCCAAGTGTCTACAGTAACTACTGTCCAGTGCTGTACCCAGATGACCAGAGCCAAGTGTCTACAGTAGTACACAGGGGACACAGTTTGAGATTTTCTTATTCCATATAGTTAGCAGTCATTTAAGATCACTATACCTGCTAGCTGCAGCACTATGTGCCATTGCCATTTGATGCATTCGATGCAATTTTCGAAGAAATTTCTTCCTTTGCTTGATCCGCACCTTCAGTTCAGCCTGCCTTTGCATCTGGAAAATGTTTCAAAAATACATATTTCTGAAAGTATTTTTGATGTACGAGTCTTCACAAAAAATATTTAAACATTCATTTTTAGTTAAAACTTAATTCATTTGAATATATATGACAGATGTAATTATTTATTCCAATGCCTCTCCTAAGATTTGAACGTGGGACCTCTGACTTACCAGTCTTATTCTCAACCAATGTAGCTGAAGAGATCTCTCTAGCTAAGCAGTAGATTATGTTTAATACTTTACCAGTGTTACATACAGAAAATACAATATACTTTCATTAAAATAAGAACAATACTCAGAATAAATTGTTAGCTAGTCACAGATTATTTACTTGTTTTAATACTACTATATAATACAAAGTTAAGTAGTAACAAGAGGCACCAGGGCCTTAACGGTCACCTGAGTTTTATACATAACATGTCATAGTAATCATTTTGTAAACATGGATACTTGAACATTAACTGCCATCCATTGTTAATATTTCTGACCAAGTCTCAATTATTGCCATTGAAAATTAGTGAAACAAGTCACTCTCTCTCCGGCGGAAATGTGAGACCCTGGGGTCATAAAATTGAGTTTTGGTAAAACATATTAAGACCTTTCTAACCATGAATCATGTTAGTTTCTATCATATGTGGGACTAGGATTTAAAAACAAATTTGAGTTAACTTGATCCTTATAAATGGCTCTGTCTATCAGCCTCTAGAGGCCAATCAGGGTCAGTAAAAAAAACCATCAAACTATCATTATATACTAATAATTCTAATCAAATTTGAATTATTTCCATTGGAAAATAAATGAATTATGCTCAAAATGTAATTTTGGTAAGGCACAGACACTTCTATCAAAAAAAATTATCTGATTCTATCATATCTGAATTTAAGTCATCTTAACATCTTTTGGGCCCATTCTTCAGGCCCCTGGTGGATGGGGAGCATATGATTCACTATTTTGGTTCAACGTCGGCCATGGAAAGTTTCTACAAAATTTCATTAAAATTGGTTGAGAGGTTTTGAGAAACAGAAATTGTCAATTGTTTCTGGATGGACAATACAACAGATGAAAATGGACAAAAAGAATATTGTATCGTTAGATACTAGAGTATGGGACTGACCTCTTCTGGGTCTGCAGGCTTCTCTCCAAAGTCCAAGGTGGAACACTTCAGTGCTGGCATCTGGGGCTGAAGTAGAAACGCTTAAACTTAGACTCAAATATTGACAACACATTTACATTCATGGCTCCTCTTTTAGAAAGAAATGTCCAATTCTCAACTTCAGACACATATTTCTGCAAGAAACAGATTCATACTAAATATTTCTCAAATGGAGAAAGTTGTGGAAACTTACAAGAAAAAGAAATATTTCCAAATACTTTCAGAATTGGATGATCATTTGAACAGATTACCTTTGGGAAACGTTTTTCGAGGTCAAAGATCCCTTGCTTTTTAGAGGTTCCTGCTTTTGCTTGCTGAAAAAATAAATTAATAGGATTTTCAAACAGTTTGGGACTACAAGTACAATACATCTCAAAGTCAGCAGATTCAAATTCAAACAATAGGGATTTCAAATATTTTTACTAGTATTACATACATTTGTATAATGGTATCATCACCTCAACATAAAGAGGTTATGAAATACAGGCTCACAAAAAGTTTACAACTTGAAATTGCTGTTAATTTCTCCCTTGGACATGGTAAAACTGCAGTGGGAGTAAAGCTTTCCTATTTTGTTATATCAGACTGGTATATAAAAGGTTATGGTAGACATAATTACCTCATCATATCTGGCTGCAAATTGGTGAGTTACAGCCCATTCCTCCCTCGTGGGTGGCCGTGATGCTTCTGTGATGTGACCAAGAACACGAGGATTTGAGGGAGGAACTTTGGGTAAACTCATGACAGTACTGGCTGCTACAGACCCAGCATCTACAACAGATAAGTAGGTATATATAGGTGATAACACAATCACTTCTTACAAAGGGATGAAATACTGGATTTCACCTGGCAACATTTGATGTTATAAAATCTAATACAAGCTAAAGAAATTTTAAAACTTGACACTCTCCAGGACTCATCTTTTCTCTGGAATTATCACACCCCTTATCTGGACACCACATATCCTAACTTCAATTATCTCAACTCCTATGGTGTTCTTCATATATTCTTGGTAGTTAATTATTACTGTAAAAGTTGTGTCCCTTTTCCACTGTACCGTTACTTATGCTACATAAACTATACTGAAGTCTGACAGTTCTCATGATCATTTGTCATGAACTATATTTTGACATCATTAAAGGAGTGAAAAAAAAATCACATATTTGAATGGCCACATGACAAATTACACATCTCTTAAGCAGTTCGGATGTATGGCATTTTGTTGTATATGGTTTTACGATAAAAATAATTTCAACTTTGATTAGGCTTTAATTATGCCTAACTGACTAGCACAGAGTAAGGTGATTAATTTGTTACAATATCTGTTCATCATTCATGACTCAAAATTCACCTGAAGTTTTTGGATTTTTAAAATATGAATTGAAGACTTCTGGTTTTTTCAAATCTTCTCTGAATTTGTCAATATCATATTGTGTTTTCAGTTTTCCTTCCTTCATTAACTTGTCCTGCAGCTCCACAACCTGAAGAAGAAATCACATTGTTAGTCTGTATATAGTTTGTAGGTATGAAAATAACAAAAGTCTAATTATACATTATATCATTTGTATTACTTGTATTTATAATAGTGATATATACTCAGTAAGATATTGACAGGCCTAGACTTCAATTTTCAAATTATGCCTATTACCAGTTTTTGACATAACTTCCTTTCAATTTCTCCAACACACTATAGTTTTACTAGTGAGTTTTCATACAGAATTCACCATGTAACATCTGTAACACTGGTCAGTGATGTGCCTACCTTTGCCACATCAGACTTGGGCATGTCCTTGAGGAAGTCACTGTTGGTAGTCAACATATGTTTCTCCGTTTTCTTTTTGAATATCTGTCTTTCTGGCTTCTGTAGCAGAATCATTAAAACCATAATTCACAATAATATCAATCATATAAAAATTGAAACGTTTTTAAGTCTGAAAATTTCACAATGACATAATCACAAATATTACATGTAAAGTGAGATACTACAGGTGAGATGGGATACTATAGATACGACAAGTGACCTGAGATACATTTACTACTGGTGACATAAGATACTATAAGTGAGGTATGATGTAAGATAATATAGGTGAAGTAAGATAATAAAAGCTAGGAGAGATGTTACAGGTGAAGTCAGATACTATACATGATGAGACGAACTACAGTTGGAATTTGATATTACAGGTGAACTGAGATACTGCACATGATATAAGGTAATACAGGTAAGGTGAGAAAATAAAATTCAGATACTACAGGTGAGGTGAGATATTAGAGGTAGATTGCGATTAATTGAGATGAGATATTACAGGTGAGGTGAGAGACTATAGGTAAAGTAAGATACTACCTGTGAAATGAAATTAAGTGAGTTGAAATGCCACAGTAAGGATGAGATTATATATACACATGAGTTAAGATCTTACAACAGAGTTGAGATTCTAGAGGTGAACATGAGTTTGTAAAGCAACACTGAAACAGTTTTATTTTTTTCTATTAGCCCTTACCAAATCCTCTGGATCCCCCACTGGGTGTGTATCATCCCGAGGTGTATGCAGCCTTGTCATCATGTGTGACACTTTTTTAGAGAAATACTGGCTCCCTTCTGGCATTCCCTGCCTCTCTTCCATCAAATGCATGTACCTCTACCAAAGATAAACCTCTCGGTTAGTGTCTGATATTGTCTGTCTCTGGCTGGTACCATCTCTGTTTGTCTAGCCTGCTTTGTCTGTCAGTTTACTTTGTCTGACCTGGTTTGTCTATCACTTTACTTTGTCTGACCTGGTTTGCCTGTCACTTTACTCTGTCTAGCCTACTTTGTCAGACACTATACTTTTTTGGCAATTTTAGTCAATTCACCATCAAAATTTGTCATTTAGCACTATTTTAAAACCAGTAAACCATTTGTCTACCTCATCATAAGTATCATCTGTTTACTGACTAGTTTTAAAATCATCCTATAATGTTGGTCAGCTTGTCCATAGAAGCTGTAGTCAATCAATTTCATTCGCCATGACTTCAAGGTCGTCTGCCTCAGGACTTGTCCATCAGTTCTCAAACTTGTCAAGTATGTATTTCAGTCTATACATGTACAAGGAACTGCTCATGATACAAGTAACCAGTGTGAAGTTGACAAATAGTGTAACATTTTGCTAGATTTAATTATGTATTCAACTTTGAAGTGATAGGTGGGAATGAAAATTTTCAAAAGAACAGGTCTATAAAATCTCCCTATAATGCTATCATCATTACAGTAAAGTAAAGCTTCATTCTATACAGATAACATTTGTATCTGTATGTATAATACACATTTTCAAAACGATAATTGTGAAATACAGTTGATTATCGAAATTCCAGTAAGCAACCTTTACAGAAGACTGTATTGTAAATTCCTTGTAAATCTACCAGGTGTGCCATATTTGCACTTAATTATTTTAATGACCACCATAATCTGGAGATTAAAATTGTAATCCACAGAGTTTAATACTACATATCCTTTATAGAATTAAAAGACTAGTCAGCAGTGTCACCTATTAGACCTACACGTGTACCTACTGTGTGTGTGACAGTTTGAGTGTTACCATAGACACGAATAAACAATGAACCACTAAAGAAGACATTTGACTGTTAAACAGCCTTTTGATCAACTAAATACTTTATAAGCATAGTTAGTATATAAAATCCCTAGGCTTATCCCATTCCCCTATTTCATAAAAATGAATTTAATGAACTTGAGCACTTTTCATTTACACAAATTATTTTCAGGTGAGCTGAATTATGTCTTTGAGGTTTTTTGTTTTGTTTTTAACAAATTCTTGATATTCTGAAGGTAGTGTAGGGCATGATTTTCTAAGTCATCCTTTGTGTTTAGAACATTCTGGTACATTGGTTTTATATCTATTGATCGCAATATAATCAGAGGTTAACAACCATTGAATTAGTAAAACAAAACAACAATTCTATCAAAATATCAAACAGAAGCACAGCAAAAGCATTGTCATAACATTATGACAATTCTCAAACAACATAATGAACACGAAAATCTCCATAAGGTATGTAGTGTTGCATCCTTTACAACACAGCAGAGAGTAATTGTAGTCACAACTATTTTTATCTCTCCAATTTTTTTTTCGTTTTTAAAGTTGGAGATGGGGTTGGAGCATGGAAATGTAGCTTACACTAATTAAACTACATTGGTTGTTATTACATTTCCATGCATTAAGATGTAAATCACTTTGATGCTGACACTGCTTCACATTATAATTAATGTTAATGTTTACACACTGACTTACAAAAGTGTATGACTGTGTTCTGCTATTGTTTTACATGATGTTGATATAAACCACAAAACATACTGAACTACAGTACATGTAATGTTACACTAGCTATATCTCATACTATTTATACCAACTAAGTTTGGTTAAACAAGTAAAATGCAAAGCAGAACAGTCCTTGTCTTTACTTCCTAAATCTAGTGTAATTAGGTTCAGTTTCATTTTCAGAAATCTGTTATAATTAATTTGTAGTCATTTGTTAACATGATTTAAAGCAGTATTCAAATTAGGACATCTGTAAACAATGACATGATTAATTTTTCACAAATTATTTTCATGCAGCAATATCACATCAAACAAGTACCGCATTTTCCCTCAACAAAGTGGCTTGGAGAGACTTAGAAGTTCTGTAGTTGTGTCTTATTTTCCTTGCTTGCTGTTTAAACAAAATATTGAATAAAGGTCCCATTAAGATTATACTTATAGGTGAGGAAGATAATCCTGAATCTTCAATATTGTTTATAACACACACAAAAATATATATTGATAGATTTTAAATAGATATTCAAATACAATGCATAATCTTTAAATGTAGATTTTTAAGGATATAATTTCTGGGCAGCAGAATATCCTAAAACTTTTTAAAGTGTTTGAATTAATAATAAGTGTAGAAAATAGAATTCCCCAGTATAGATAAACAGTAATACCTCCTCTCTCTTTTTGCGTCGCTTTTCCTTGATATCTGTTTCTTCTGGTTCCTTCACAATCTTTTTCGGTTGACGTTCCTTTTGCGTTCTACGATATTCCTGTAATAGTCATCAAAACGCCAATTACCAAATCTGACAAACTCATACACTTCAAAGAAACCCTGTTCTTTTTTAGAATTGATGGTTATTTATTCATAGTAAAGCTTCTGCTATATCCTGACTGCTTTCACATTAGAAATGACAGAATAAGACGTCTCTAATAACTGTACAGTCACCTTATATTTGTTTTCCTTTTCTTCCATCCCATATTCGTTAAGTACATTGGGTAGGTTTGATTGACTGTGAACCTTTCCTTTATATCCACTTTTTATCCTGCCCAAATCTACCCTGACTGCATTTTTGCCCTGAGTGTCAATCTCCTCCTCGATAGTGGCAGGATTCTCCATATTCTGGTTGAGCTCCTTTTGGCCTTCTTCATTTTCTTCCATCTTTAACAATGGTAATAAAAAGGAATGTTAGGTCTACTTATTTATTGTGTATATTCATTGTAATGACTTATAATATATATATATATATGTGATAATGTTGATCCCCGCCAACGAACAGATTCTTACTTGCTGTTATTTTGTTTATCATATCATCTTGTTGAAGGATAGGAGGTCGGGTATACATAAGCATTGTATTAAGGGACGGTCAAAGATGCACAATGCATTTTTACCGATCACGCCAGCACGCGTCATGTATACTTTAATATATGTGTGGATATTTTCCAGAACTAACGGAGATGTGTACTGTAGCAAGCTGATACACCGTGGACATCTAGGCATGCTTGTCTCGCCGTTCTGCCGCAAGGACAGACAGTCTTGACAGTATCATTACTAAAGATAGTTAGGCCGAGACTGAAGCATATGAGGGATACCAAATCGACCGTATGTCAGGTGTTCATACATATTTTTGTTTAACATACTGTACACGCGTCATTTTCTGATCATTTTATCTGATTTATCATCGATATCTTAGCCCAGCACAGTACCTTTAAAATATGCACATGTAAATCCAATGACAGCTACGGTCCACATGTATGTGAAGCGTCAAAGCTTCACAGTAAGTCCGCCATTATTGTTTACGTTGTCCATGGTTGCGCTCAAACTAATGATGGAGCCGAGGACGGTAAGTCGAAACGAATAAAATTCCGGAAAAGGAAAAAAAATATCCGAAAAAAATATCATAATTCAGTTTCCCCACATAGTCATGCCAATATTACATAAATATTGCAAAATATGGCAAACAAATTTGTTGACAATTATTTTTGCATATACTGAAATAGCAAATGTCTATTCCAAAAATCACAAAATAACTGTTTTTTTTTATTTTCTTTGTTCTTTTTTTATTTTTCTGTTTTGTCGTATCAATTTGATTATGCCTTTTTTTCTTGGTATGAGGGCCTCTCTAAGTTACATTAAAAAAAGTTACAAATGACCTACAGTAAAATGGTCAGCTTTACCTTTAACCTTAAACAATACAAACAACAATTACAATATTTGAACTTCAGAAAATTGGCATGCTTAATTAAAAGGATGTGTTTGCTATATATCATTGTATTTGTCAATTTTTCAAAGTTGAATAATTTTTTAGTCTAATATCATATGATTAAATACAAAGATACCATTTATCCAACTTCTTTTTTCTTTCTTCCATTTTGAAAAGACCCTAATGAGATTATAGTAGTGGCTTTCTGGGTATTTCTAGGTAAATAGTTCTTATAACTGCTATTTTAATTATGCAATTTGATAATCAAGCGCAATATAAAACTCAGCTATTCATTGGTATGCTGCAATGTGATCTAAATAGTATAATGTACTTTTTTTAATGTACCAACTGTGACATTATGAAACATGCTTTTTAGTTCAATAAGTAGTATTCTTACCTTTTAAAAATAAATTGTAATCCAGACAAAGTGATGAAAAAAGGAAAGAAATAAAAGTAAACTTTAAAGTCCAAGGGGTAAAAATTCTGTCCCAATGAGGTATAACACAATAAATCAACACTTGTTTTGTATCCCTTTATGACAAACCCACAAAGCTCTCGTGGCATTATGGAAAAATCTGAAAATCAGTCCAATCTCTGTCTTAATGAGGTATCAGAAGTGGAAACTTCAACTTTAATGTAACTTGTTATCATAAAGCAACATGCTGATTTTCAGGAATGTCATCAGGCTTGACAAAAAAAAACAACAAACAAACCAAACAAACAACAGCAAAATCAAGAACAAAACATATTGAAAACCTCAGATGGTAGTGACAAACGGACAGACATACATACAGAGAGACAAGAAGGAAACCTTTATTTCAAAAATCCCCTTTCTTAAACATCTCTAGGTTAAGGATTGTTTCTCTTTTCATTTGTGCACATGTTTAGTCAGTTTCTCAAATCACTAAACACAGAATGAAATCATGCTAAAGCATGACAAAAGTTAAAGTTTCCAAAATAAAGTTTAGGTGCAGACAAGCGAGGCTGAAATACCTTCAATAACAAAAGTGATGGCCAGGTGTGTGAAGTTTGATTAAAATCCTTCAAGGAATGAAGCCACTGCATTGCTGACAAGGGATTTCTTAAAACAGCAATGTTAACAATGACCTTGAACCTACAATTTTGAAACTCAAACTTGTTTGAGATATTATGATTCTTTATATGAATTTGAAGTTGATCTATATCGCTCCTGGGAAAGATGACACTATAGTGCTAATATGGATTTTAAAAGATACAAAGCCCAAACTCATGTGATATATAAATGTCATTTAAAAGTGTATGTTTGATAAAAATCCTTCCATGAATGAAGCCACTGAGGTGATAACAAGGATGTTTTACAATTCAAAAACAGTGACATTGAACTTTTATAAAAATGTGATTTTCTATCAAAATCCCTGAAATGAATCTACTAGAGTGTTAACAAGAATTTTTTTAACAATAGTAATGATGACATTCACCCAACAACCCTCAAGCTCAATTGGGTCCGAGATATTATAATCTTTTATCAGTACTGACAAAGATTTAAAGGAAAATCTGTGGGAAAAAACTAATTGACCAAAGCAGAACTTGACCTGCAAATTATATAACTATATACCAAAATACAGTTCTATATCTGTATCTCGTACCAAATAACAGTTCTATATCTGTATCTCATACCAAAATACAGTTCTATATCTGTCTTGTACCAAATTACAGTTCTATATCTGTATCTCATACCAAAATACAGTTCTATATCTGTCTCGTACCAAAATACAGTTCTATATCTGTGTCTCGTACCAAAATACAGTTCTATATCTGTATCTCGTACCAAATTACAGTTCTATATCTGTATCTCGTGCCAAATTACAGTTCTATATCTGTCTCGTACCAAAATACAGTTCTATATCTGTGTCTCGTACCAAAATACAGTTCTATATCTGTCTCGTACCAAGTAACAGTTCTATATCTGTATCTCGTACCAAATTACAGTTCTATATCTGTATCTCGTACCAAATTACAGTTCTATATCTGTATATCACAGACCAAAATACAGTTCTATATCTGTATCTCATACCAAATTACAGTTCTATATCTGTATCTCATACCAAATTACAGTTCTATATCTGTATCTCATACCAAATTACAGTTCTATATCTGTATCTCATACCAAATAACAGTTCTATATCTGTATCTCATACCAAATTACAGTTCTATATCTGTATATCTCAGTCCAAATTTCTTTTCTATATCTGTATCTCTTTCCAAATTACAGTTCTATATCTGTATCTTGTACCAAATTACAGTTCTATATCTGTATCTCATACCAAATTACAGTTCTATATCTGTATCTCATACCAAATTACAGTTCTATATCTGTGTCTCGTACCATATTACAGTTCTATATCTGTATCTCATACCAAATTACAGTTCTATATCTGTATCTCATACCAAATTACAGTTCTATATCTGTATCTCATACCAAATTACAGTTCCATATCTGTATCTCATACCAAATTACAGTTCTATATCTGTATCTTGTACCAAATTACAGTTCTATATCTGTATCTCACACCAAAATACAGTTCTATATCTGTATCTCATACCAAATTACAGTTCTATATCTGTATCTCACACCAAATTACAGTTCTATATCTGTGTCTCGTGCCAAATTACAGTTCTATATCTGTATCTCGTACCAAATTACAGTTCTATATCTGTATCTCATACCAAATTACAGTTCTACATCTGTATCTCGTATCAAATTACAGTTCTCTATCTGTATCTGTTAAAGTGTATATGAGTGTAAACATAATTGTGATGAAGGATTGACTGACATGAGTAACACTCTACGCACTGGCAATGAAATGGCAAAAAAGAAAGAACAAAACTTGAACATAAGGCAAAAACACTTTTAATATAAGCACAAAAATACTTAAACAGGTCAAGAAGCCAAGTATATTATCTATGTGATAAGAATCCTGATCATTTAGGACTGAAAAATATTAACAAATCTTTGCAAATATTTCCTCATCCTTTGAAAAAAAAATATCCAATATGCTAAAAAAAAAACCAACATTAATACCTCTTTGCCATTAACTCTGTCTATTAATCAATTTTCAAATTCAGTTGAAAGATCTCATTGTCCATTCTACAGAATGAAGTTCCCAGTATGGAAGACTGGTCTGTCAGTGTCACTGTTAATCACCCAGTCATTTACCATTTTTGTTTCCTTCCCATACTGCAGCAAAGTTCAGGATACCCTCAGACCTGTACCCACATAGGAATTGTACAGGGACATCAGCACTTCTGTGAAGCTCATACAGAAATCCAAACCTGGACACATCATGTCGCTGTAGACACACAGACGGCTTTTCTGTAGTCAGGATCATACTAACACTTGGAAGATCACCATCCGTGTAAAACTTGACATATACCAGGCCAAAGGTATGGAGTGATAACTTTTTACCTAATTCATACACAAAGTTATCAGGGGTAATCTGTAGCCATGATATGGTGGTACAGGGAGTACCACTATTGTAGAAGAAAACTGAGGACACAAAAATGTCTCCTTGTTTTACACACACAGACTGTATTTTTATATCATAATTTAGCTTTTTTAAACTCAATAAACGATCTAAATGAATTTTCCCAGGTACATGAAATGATAAAATCTGCTTCATCAAGGTATTTCTTTTTTTACAAATGAAAATATATTGAAATGTTTTATTAAAATAACACGTATCTAAAATATCAACACATAAATTAGTTTCACATTCCTCTGGAAAGTCCTGGTAAAGTTGAGGATCATCACTTGTATAATGATTCACTTTCCAAAAGACATTGTCTTTATTTTCCCTCCAAACGATGTTGAAATACAACTGACCATTGTGAACAAACATATTTAGTGCTGTTATCCAATATCCCATGTTAGTCAAATCCGCGATGTGTTGACTCAGATCCTTGTAAAGTACAAGCACATACACAATCTGTAACTTATCCTTTGATGCAATTTTATAGAAGTATTCTGCACTTAATTCAGACAGGGATGGCATCACAGGATTCCACAAAGGTAGATGTGGTACATGACTAAGGGAAAATTTGAGAAGGCCATCTAGATCCATGTCACGTGACCAAGAATTGAGAAGAAGGACCCAGCTGACCCCTGACCTGTGATGGAGAAATGTTGTTGATGTACCTTCCATGGCACCTGTGTGACCCCAACTCTGACCTCCATCTTGAACATCCAGTCCAAGGCCATACCATTCCTCTCCGTTTTCATACTTTGGTCGCTGCAACATCTTTTCGAATGTTTCTGGTCTCAGAATACAGACTCTTGGACTGTTGAAGTAAAAGATATAAAAATCAATAAAACAAACACATTAACACGGAACAGAACTAATCACAAAACAATGCTGTGATTTACATAATTCACCACTCAGGGTACATGTTATTAAAGTCTAAAAGTACAGAGTTGTAAAATCAAATCAGCAGTTGGTGACTTCTACCATGTATTAACTTATACTGTTCAAAATATCAAGTTATTACTATCATCCAATATTTTGAAGCTTAATTAACTACATATTTAAGTAAAAGTACATACTCAGTGTTGGAAAGTCTGTCAAACAGACCTAGAAGTTGTACTGCAGAAGATACCCAGCCTCCGTACGACCCAGTGTCCTCCATAGGGAAGGAGCCATACTGGGGTGTGACCAGTCCCTCCCCTGGAATCACGGATGGGGCCAAACTTGGGTCTCTATTACTGTAATATTCTACCTGCGTTAATATCAATAAATTGGCCTCAGTTATCAGAATAGTAAAATATATTTCTCATTTTAACAAGATCGTGATTGATTGAATGCAAACAAACTTTAAAAGTAATGTCTAATTATAACAATATATTGATATTGTATTGAAAAGTAAAGCTGATGGACCTGTCTCTCTTCAATTTAAGATTGTCTAAATCCAAATTTCTTTTTAACTATTTCTTCAAGCTGTGGAAAGGTTATAGTTGTAAATTCAGTGCCAGACATATTTAATCTACAATCTATTGGACGGATTGCCTTTGAACAGACTGCTAAATCAGGTCTTGAAAGGAGCCAGAATATCTCTATAGGATCTCTAGACAATCTTTAAGCTATCTCTAGGTAACTCTATGCTACTCTAGAATATCTCAAGACTATTATTAAGAGTATATCTAGGCTATATCCACACTTCCTTTAGACAATGTCTATCTCAAAACTTTTTCTAGACTCTCTCTGAACAAATCTAGACAATCTCTGTACTATCTTTAGGCTATCTCTAGAACATCTCTAAGTTATCTCCACAAACACCCTGACAGTTTACCTCTTCAAAGTCTTCCACAGACTTCTTGGCTGTGCCAACATACATTGTGTTCCTGGTAACGTCACCTAGACATTCATGAACCAGGTCCTCATACCCCATCCCTAGTTTCTTCTCTAGCACCATTCCAAGCACCAGGTAGCCAAGATTAGAATAAGCATGGCGTTTACCTACAATTTACCATCAGTGTAGTCAATACTTCAATCATCTTCAAGAATATTTTACTAATGTACATATGGTACAGTCAGTATAGTACATAAGACTGATAAACAGTACAAATATGATAAATTCTAGATCTAGTGTCTTAAGAAAAAGTGGGTCACATATAATTGTCAAATCTGAATAAGAAAACACATGAAAACAAACCTGTATTTTACATTGTTTACAAGTTCAACAAACAACACAAGCTCTGTAGGCCTTTTAACTACAACGCTGTTAAGGGAACAGATATTGATTTTTTTTTTGTTGAAGGAAAACCCATGGGGATAATCTATGTGCTTCCATGTTCTTGTGGAAAGTAGTCTGAAGCTCATGCACATTTGATTGCAAACATGACGACAGTCCTACTGTGAATGCCTTAGCAGCCTTTGGGACAGACAGTTATTCATAAAAGTGCACTAACCTTTTATCTTAAATCTTCCTTTTATGTTGTTTACAAATTCACAGTCAACGTAAGCTCTGCAGGGCTTTTATTACAAAGGGAACAAACTTTGTTTTAGATGTTAGAGAAAAATCCATGGAAGATAACCAATGTGCCATCACTGGGGAAACAACTAACCCAAAAGACATCATCCCCCACTACTGTCTTAAACCTAGCTCTAAGAAAGCATGCACACATCTTAACAGTCATACTGTCAGCACATTAAGGACCACATGTACCAAAGCACCCATCTAAGCATTATATGCGTTATGAAGAATGCCATATCTGAAATTAGCAACTTGATGTCTTCTGTCTCAATAAGATAAAGGAAAAAACCAATGGATATACTCTTCTCTAGTTACAAGTCAAATGTGAAAAGGTAAGGAGAAAAAGTCTTGCATCAGATTTTTTCCCAAGGATTTTTTGTAATATCTAAATAAAGCCATAATCTTGTATACACAGCATGAACACTGCGTGAACTGGAGCTTGCGTGACATCATAAAACGCACCAGTGTTTCCTTGGCTGTAGGTGCCTGTCCTGGACACACTTTTTCCAGTTTCCAAAAGACTGGATCACCCACTCTATCTCTGTCCCAGCCAGAGGAATGTTGAAGCAGGTGTTCTATAGTGATCCTGGTCAGTCGACGGTCACCCTTACAGGTGGGCTTATATCCAATAATACCTGCATAGAAATAACTAAATACTGAATAGGATTGAACCTAAGCAAAATTGTATACAATGTATTAATGTAATACATATATTGTCTAATCATTCCTATCTCATTTAGTAATACACAAAAGCTTTCTACAATGTCAAAGTCAACAAATACCTCGTTAAAATTTGATGCAAACAATTATTGTGCAAGCTTCTTATGTAAGAAATTCAATGCCTTAAACGATCACATTCTTTTAACAGCAACAACAAGATGAATCTTGGCACTGACATTACCAGCATTGTTTTGGTTCTTTATGAGTGAGGTCTTTCCTGTAATTTGTTTCCCATTGATATGTTGTATTGGCATCAATAACAAGGAAAACCTACATATAAAATCTAGAAAAAAAATACCCACATAGAGCACAACTTAAATGACCAATGAAAACCTTTAAAATTAATTTTATGAACAATCCATCATGAAAAAAATTGTGATAACAAATCTTAACCCTCAAAAAAGAAGATGGCTACCTGTCAGCTATTGTGTCTCTCTGATCAGTTTCAAAATCAAAAGAGCACCAAAAGGGGCAAATGTTCATAGGGAAGCTACATATCAAATTTAAGAAATACATATGTAGTACTTCTCCAGAAATAGTGATTATAAATGTTCATAGTCAAAAGTTGCCACCTGTCTGTCACTATGTTTCTCTACTCAATTCCAGAATCAAATAGGCACAACTAGTGGCCAAAAGCAACTTCCAAATGAAATATGAGGAAAATCCATTCGGTACTTCTCAAGAAATGGAAGTAAAAAAAAAATTAGGAATGGATAGCAGACAGATCACGGACGCAGGGCACAGTACATCTAATGATAGTGGTCTAAAAAGTGTTGCCTAAAATAAAAAATAATTAGGATACAAAGCAAGAGTGCAATAACTCCATGTTATACCTTTAGTCCCCAGCACTGTGTCATTAAGGGAAAGCAGACCACTTTCACACAACTTCATTGTAACAATAGCTGTGATTGGTTTACTTATACTGGCAAGTCGGAATTTGGAGTTGGACAAAACCAGTTTCCCTGGCCCTGCTGTTCCATATCCTGAAAGAAAGTAAACAATAACATTAGACATAATATTTCCCTATGTCTTCACACCAATTGTATCATATAGCATGTCAAACATTGTATTACATTGTATTCAATAATGTTATGTTGATTTTCAAAGTGTTTTTATCTTTATTGTACATTTTCCATTTGTTTCCATAACTGAAAATTTGTATTGTATATTTGTGATACATGTGTGTTTGATTATTTTTCACTTATATTCTATGATAATTAATCTTTATTGTAAAAAAAAATTGGATTGAATAATTAAGATTTACATTAATAAACTTTCCATTTGTATGCAACATTTTTCATTACCAGACTATCAAAACTGCAAACATGACAGTTCAGAAAATACAGTGGAATGACAGACAGAAGAATGGAAAGACTTACATTGTTGGACAAAATATACAATGTGTGATACAAATATATCTAACATGGTCTCTTGTCTGAAACAAATTCATATCCTGTCAAGAATTATATATGCCATAATTTCTGGGACTCAGATATTGCAATCCTAGACCCATACTTTTCCTATGGGACCCAATCAGAGTTTAAGAATTATATCTTAGTACTGGGACTCACCAAACATTTTGGAATTGGTGTTCTGAACTCGCTTGAAAAATCCTACAAAAATTGATGTATGAAGTTTTTTTTATTCTTATCATGTAACTATGATGTACAATGCTGAAACAGTGAATATGGGTCAAGGTCATATCTTTTCCCAAACTTGATTGGACTTAATTTTTCCAAGGAACTTCCAGGGCAAACATCATGACTCTTAGTCTTCTGGTTATTCAGAAGTCATTAAAAGGGGAAAATTGATGCTGGTTGCCTTATACAGACAGCAGACATTGAACCTTTAGGCAAGGCAGGTTAAAAATATATTCATGATCATACCAAGCTAAAAAATATTTACCTTGTACATACACAGGTTTTCCATGCAGACTGATGGCTAAGGAAGCACCTGGAATACCTTGTTCCTTCATAAAGCCAGTAATCACATTGTCAAAAGTTTCAAAACCAGCAGGAGTGTTTTCATTTGGAGTGATTTCTAAAAAGAAATTTTAATGCATATTAATTTATTTGTTAAAGGTATCGGCTAAATATGTATTAAACATTTAGTAGTTTCAACAATTGTTTTCCTTGCTAACATTTACAGACATCCTAACAATCTACATACATTTACACTATATGTGTGCATCATATAATGAATTCAAGTTATTACAACTTGTTTTTAATCCCAAATATGTATTATTTTCTGATGACAATGTGACTCAATTTTGGAAATTAAAGTAGTTTATATAAGTAAAATATGCATTCACATAATCTGTCAGACCATTAAATCAGTTTAACTTTGAGTATAAAAATATCTATTATACATACTCACCAAACTTAACACTGTAGTTGTGGTCCTTCAAACAATAATCCATTCCTTGTATACTCTGAGGTTTGCTGCGAATTCCTGTCATTTATTTGGTAGTCTGCATAATATTTACACTGACTTAGATTTTGGCAACCATAAATTATTCAAAATATCAAATGATTATGTTATTGGGGTATGTTTCTTTAAAGCACTCGCCAGCTTCCATCCCATGTATCCCGTTCCTAGGTGTTAGTCAGAAATATATATTTTGAAGGTTGGGTGTCCAGTCATAATCACCACTGTGTTGCACCTCCTGTGAAGAAGAGTTTTTTTTTTATTTTCTGTTGACAACAACAACAGTAAGTACTGGTCCATTTGTGAGAAGATATTAGCTTAATCGTATTATAATCAAAGACATTCACTTAATTGTACAGTTTTAATATATTTGTGATTAAAAGAAACATTTATTGAAATACAGAATTTAAAAGGTAGATTTCATAGGCAATACATGGTCAATCAGTGTCTTAAAATATTAGCTGTATTTTGGTGAGGGTGAAGAGAGAAAAAAGTGGCCAGCCACTTTTGTCTTTCTGTCCCGAGCCAAATACAGCAAAAATATATGTGGCAGGTGTATTCTGACGATGGCAGCGCCAGTTGCAGGATACATTTGCATAACTCCCTTGTCCGCCAAAAGTGAAATGAATTCCAATTTTGTATATTTGATAACAAAAATAAGTATAAGCCTACAACATTTTGTTTTTTGTCTTAATAATATTGATAACATTATTTTGGAATGTGTAACAGCAGCTTCTGTCATGATCACTGTCTAGACTTTATTGGATGTTAAAGGCTAATTTCTGGTAATTTTGTAGTAATGCGACATATTTTATTTTGATGTAATTTGTCAAAGCTCTTTCATTACAGCTGTTTTTTGTTCAGTAGTGATGGGAAATGGGGGAGAATCTTATTTCTGGAGACAATGAACCAGCACTTTTGTAATCAAATAATACAAAATTTGTGGAAGTGATGTTGGTACTGCAAGGATGGCATTTTAATATAATGTATGGGATAGGACACTGAAGACAAGACTCCAGTCCAGTCTCTGGGGGATTCTATCATGCATATTGTGTAACTGTATTTGTTAAGACTGCAGTGATTGTCATTCCTATGTCATAATGATAAATGTGGAGTTGATACAATATTGTATAGACAAAGTCCATGGGCAGTTAAACCTTTAATTCCCATACTTGCAGTCTTGTGGTCCTGACTTATGATAAAAACCCTGAGAATAGATTTTTGTGTTCAGCTTGAAAATATTTATCTGTGGAGACATGGCTATTTTGTAATGTGTAATTCATATTGTGTGATGTGTTCAGTTGTTGTGTTTTTATAAGCATATGATTGGTTTCAGCTGTATACGCACACTTGTAAAAATCATCACTTATCGAAACAACACCTGACGAGGTGAAAAAGATACACTATACATGATTTGATTTGTTGTTAAATCTTGCCTAAATACTTCATTCTTTGAGGGAGGGGTAGTTGTTACAATTATTGATCACATCATTGAATAAATTTCACAGAATGAATACGTTCAACATAAATCATGTTTGGTAGCAATTTATCGATGTAATATATCAATAGATACTAGTTCTTATATATATATATGAATCAGTATCTATATATAAGCGGGGACCGAAACTGATGCAAAAAGGGACCTATCAGTTATTGACCCACACACCACCCAACTTTGAGCAGGTATCGTAAGAAACATAAATATATACATGGTAATGATATTTGACTAACTTACAAATTTTAAGTCCCCTTTATGTCACTTGATGCATGTTCTCTGCATGAACGACAAAATAATCAGACGCTCTGCACAAGAAAAGGTAAACTTCCGCTAGAGGGAGGTAACTCTGAAGAAGTAAATAGCACTTGACAACAAAATGCTATGTGCTCATAGGAAAATAGGTAACTACAAATCGTGTAAGACTTACTTAAAGTTTTACAATCAGAGACATATTCGCGAGGATTTAATACTTTCTTAAGGTTAATTTGTAAATAATTAACAGCCGAATCATACACCGTACAATATTCAGTAGAGGTAAGACAGGATTTTGGTTTTGCGTGTTTTAATCGGACAGCTCGTCCCTGTTATACAATAAGTCATTTCTTCTATTTGGTCATTTCGACCACTAAGCTAAGCTTCAGTTGGAGCATATTGATTTGATTTATTGATTAATGTAGTACTATATCAAATCAATAGAAATAAGTGTTACTGTCAACACTGGTATAAAGACTGGCTGGTTGATATAATGGTATCACTTCAGTATTTGTAGCAACTGATGTGTACTTACATATTACCATTGACAGAGAGAATTTCAGGGGATGATTGTCAACCTAAGCCTGTGTTGTAACGTGTTTGTGTTACCAGCAGCTGTTACCATATCTTCAGGAATGTTGTTCCAAATGTCTGCTGCTTACATGTATATAGAAGTCACACACAGCAACTTACATTCTGACTTATAACTGTGATAAAGGACATGTACTGATTCATAAGGCATGATCTTACGTATCCTATTGAAATCAGCATTGATGTCACATCCTCAGAAATTACGTCATTACAGATAAATAATGATGTCATAATCATCAAGCCTTTTTCATGAAATGGACACTGTTACACAAAGTCAAACTTCCAAAGTGATACCACACTGTATCGAGGTTTTACATTGCTTTATATTGCTTAGAAAACGACAACAAGACATCGAATGGAAAATCACAACATGATAATGACATGTAAACAAAATGTAAACTTCAAAGTTAAATTAAAATTTGACCTCATCAATTCATGATATTTACACCTTTGAAGAAATTTGCGATGGCAGTGAGAGGGTTAAATCTTGCCAAAATAATTTCTCCTAAATAAATTAGCTATTATTAAATAGAATCAACACTGTGTATTTGATTTTTTTGTTTTTTTTCTCTTGTGTTTCAGTGAGTGATGTAGGACATACAGGATCCCCCCATGAGGATGAAGACATAGAAAAGTAGAACATCACCTTGGCCTTGCCATGGATTATATGACATCCTGGCATCAAGATGAGTCCCAGACTGAAAGTGGCAGGACCAAGAACCTTGAGATACTGGGGTCAGGTCAAGGTCAGGTCATCAAAATGTTCACTCCGCATGCTCCGCTTGCTCCTCATGCTCCTCATGCTCCTCACGCCCCACCAAACCGTCCAACAAGTCGACCGCAATCCAGAGCCAGAAGTGCAAAGCGGCGTGTGGATATGTTTAGAGCAGCAGAGTAAGTAATTAATTTGCATGGTACTTAATTCTGTTCAAAGAAGTGCTTTTGATTAGTTATACTTGAATGATACTTTTCATAATCTGGCATATTTCGTTATGTTTTAGGTCTGTCTCTCTATATCGTAGTTAAGTACAATTCAAATTTGCAGAAAATGTGAGTTATTACGGATTCTTTTCTCAGGGACCCTGACGGAGATAACATAGAAGCAATACTAGCACAGATGGAGCAAGTGAACCAGGCTCCACGAGACCTGCCTATGTATACTGGATGTGACTGTGCCACAAGACCACAAAAAGTCAAGCAAGACACCAGACTATCACCTGAACCCACTGTAGAGAGTTATGCAGATGATTCAGACTCGGATAATGAAGGTACTATTTAGAGGATCGTTCTGTAGACTTGATATAGTGTATATGTTTATTGTGCTGTTGAAACTTTCACAGCAATTTAAGCTTCACTTGCTTCATTCTTTTTCCAATAGGATGATCATATAATAAAAAGGTGACTGAAAATTGCAATGCTAAAGTCCATGTTTTACTGCAGTTAGGGCTAAAAATCCCCTAAGTGATTGTGTCCCCTCATTGTTATGTTGTTTATGACCAGGTGAAGTAAATCTTCCTGTCCTTCTGGGGATGCTACAGAAACTGAAGGACACACCACTGAGACGGACCTCCAACAAAGCCTTCCTTACGCTAGTTTCCAGCCTTGACAAAGAGTCAGAGATCGACAAGGAACAAGTTCAACAGGTTAAAGTTCATCTGATGGCAACTTATTTATATACATATTGATTATTAGCACAATGTATTGGTTTTAAATTTACCAATTTGAGGACAACAGCAAGGATATCTGCTTATATCCTAATCAGAAGCTGCACATTAATTCATGTCGTGTCTGAATGTATATTTTGAGCAGTACTTAGTCAGTCTACTGTATATAAATCCATAAGACATTGTAACACATACTTGTGTTACAGAATGAATGCATTATCTATTTTAGATTCTGGGTTACCTGAAAGATGAAGTAATTGTAGAAGTCCAGGAATTAGCTCTAGGGCTGATCAAACAGCTATGTTTTCACCACAACAACACAGCCAAGTTCATGGCAGCTGAAATCCTCAATACTGTGGAAAAGATCTTAGTATCCATGCGACCACTCCAACCTTATGTTGCTGCTGTTGGTGTTCTGGAGGCAGTAAGTTTATGTATTATCACTCTGTCTTATCTATGGTCCCAGCCTGACTGAGGACAGCAATATATAAGTTGGTAGAGCATCAGATGATATGTATCATAAGTCCAACCTCTTGGGAAGATCTGAGGTAGGTGGCTTGATTCTTATTGAGGGCAGTTTATGTTTCTCAGGAGCTGATATCACCAACTCTCCTGCACTGTCATAGTTGTGTCTTTGGGCAAGAATATTGTTTATATGTCTTACATTGAGTTTTGGTTGGGTCAGTGAAATTTCCTTATCCAAAAGTACTCACTAGGATTACATTTTAAGCTGAATGATATTAACATTATGCACAGCTTCTAGACCAGGGTGATGTGACAGTTGTTGCCAAGTACAGTTCTTAGATAATGTGTTTGCAATTATATTAATACATTTACATCATTTCTGATCACTGATACATGTTTTAAAATACTAGGATTCCACTGATTTATCAGTTGTGAACAATCACTACATTGTAGATAGTCAGCCATAAAGAGTTCCTATCTGCCTGGCTGGAGCCAGTGATGCGTGTCTTCCCTGGCTTGATGCGGCACCTCCAGATTGAAGAGACTGTGGAGGCAAAATATGCCATTTGCTGTCTTTTCCGTCGCCTTGCGCAGTATTCACAACTCTCATGGAACATTCAGAATGAGGCCATACCAGTAATAGATGTGACCAGAGGAAAAAGTGACAAACTGAGTGTACGTAGTAAATTTAGTTTTTTTGTCAATGTTCATAATGCAATTTTTTGTAAGTAAATGAAAGTTTCCAGCTAAAATAGAGATTTTACAATATGTAAAGGTTGATGGACCAGAGCAGATTATAGTTTGTTTTGTCTGTTGCTGTAGGAGGTATATACACAGGTGATGATGGAGGCTGTACAACACTCAGATGAGGTGTCTATAGGGTTGATACAGAATGGGGCCCTTCCCACTGCCACCAAAATACTACAAGATGGTCCATGGTAAATATTCTGAGAAATGTCTCTGGAGCTATAAAATATGGAGCTATGCCCACCGCCACCAAAATAATCTATGTATCGGTGACCCTGGTTGCTTGGATATATGATGGTTTATTTACCAGAAGATGTTATATTTCTACAGGAGGAATCATATTTCTCAAGGACATAGCCAGTAGGAACTATGACATCGGAGATTATATAAACATTCATATTTCTCTACAACTAGGACCATAAATTGTTATTATACTGAAAGAAAAAACATTATTGAGTAAACAAATAAAAAAGAGCATTGTTTAAGAAACAACTAAGTAATTTTATATTCATGACAGGCTAAACATGTCAAGTTTGTTTTGTAAGAGTTAAAGTTCAGGTTCTTGCCAGTTTCCTTCTGAAATTCTCTGAAACAGGTAATAATCACTAAAACAATTTCCATTTTCTTTGTATTTGTGCATCTTTGTTTTCCTTTCCCCACATGTCACATTAACAAATAGAAGTGGTGACTACTCTGGCAGAATACAATGTAGGCTCACCATGGAAACACATACTCCAAGGAGATACAATGTTTTATTTTGTCATAGTTAAAATCACTCCAAAATGAATCGATGTATATAGAAAAAATATTACAACATGAATTTTAAGCATAAGCACCATCATTCTTGATCTTCAGATCAAACTAGTTTTAAATTTCCCATTTATATAATATATATATATTTCTGCTAACTGTAAAACTTAAGCCTACATTTTAGTCTTTAAACTGGTTGTGTAATTATATTGTTTTGCAGTGGTCCGCAGAAGCATGCCTTGGCCCTACTCTCAGCACTGACTATGAAAGACCTAGGTATCGCCTCTACTATTGATGATGAGGAGCTTATGACACTAGTGCTGCGATGTATCAAGGAATCAAAGTGCAGGTAGACATGCATAATCAAATACAACATTTGAATGTGTATCAAAATATTCTGAATAAGGCATGTGTATGGTATTGATACCTGTATGTTTTTTCTGTAATTTTTTGAGATCCATCATGAATCACTGGGGTCCTCTTAACTATGTTATATGTTCAATGATATTAACATTTTCCACATCTTTTAAATTGTTCTTGAAACTGAGTTTCACAAAAGCAAGGTTCATTTAGGTAAGTCAGAGGAAATAGTTGCCTTCATCAGGTTAAAAATGGCTGCAAATCATTTTTGTCACCAGAGCTGAAAAATATGTATTTGTTTGGGAGGTCATTGAGGATGTCACTGCATAAAGAATAATATTGTCAGGCTTACCATTGAAGTGAAACAAACATCATCAGTAAAGTGTGATATATGTGTGTTCAAGGCAAGTCTGTGGAGAGGCTGCTTGTGTCTTAGCCAATACGTTTATGACGCGGAGCCGTGGACGATGTCGTGATCTGATGGTCCATATTGCTGACTACTTGGTGCCAGCTACCATGGAGATAGAACTGTTACAGACTTATAGTCTAGCTGGGGACTCACAAAAACTGCCTCTAATAAGGAATAGGCATGAACGAGAAACACAGCTATGGAACGGACTACACACACTATGTCGTGTGATGTGTGACATCATATGTAGAGAAGGTATGTTTACAGCAAGTATAAGAGAACACCCTTTACTCACTACTACATTATAATAATATTTAATCGTACATAAACATGATGCCATATGTAGTTGTACATAACATAGCATTTAAATAAGCTTTGTACTTGACAGCTAAGGTAGAAGTAGATGAGGATGGCTGTCCACAGAGGATTGGACTGACCGCCTCCACAACATCTGGGACACCCTCCCCAGGAGTGACAGTGATCAGCCACTGTATTAGAGTACTGACAAATGTGTGTATTTGGGCAGCAAGCAAATCTCGACATGACTTCTACAAGATCGACCTTCATCACTTTGCACACACAGAGTCACAGAGGTATGTGTCTATTTTCAGTGAGACCTTTATTACTCTTATCGCGCAAAATATCAATCACAACAAGCTAAGGATATGTTGGTTTTAAGTTTATTAGTGTTGTCACTTTGTTTCACCTGGACTATGTGGGCTTCATCATTACTCCTATTGTACAACTACTAGAACTACAAACTTTTTTTATTTATGATCTAAAGGTGGAAGTCTTGCTGGAACAATAGAAAAATCCCTCCAGTCATAAATTGAAATGTCATATGTTGTCAATTACACATTTTGAAAATGACAGATATTTCTGATCCTGCATATTAATTTTTAAGTCCCATGAAAAAAGATAGATAGTAGTATATCACACCTAATGATTTTTGTGTAGGGTGAAACTGTCCAAACTGAACAGGGTTCTTACCCATTTTATATGGGACATTGCTGGGCGCCTCGTCTCTGTGGTGATGGCCCAGTTCTCCTCACAGCTACGCCGCCTGCTGGTTTTGGCTGACCTTCTGTATGACCCAAAGATGAGGATGAAACAGGATATATCTGGTACGGTGGTGAAAAAGGGCACTAATCAGAGGCTTCTTGTGGAACGTGCCATCTTAAGGAATGGAACTGTTGATCTGTCTAGGATGTTTGTGAGTGCAGAAATTCAGCTGATCAAAGTTTGCCTGGACTTTCTATTGTGTATGTCTTTGTGTACTTGTAAAGAGTTTCCAAATCTGCAAAAACATGAGACTCCACCGGGGAGTGGCAATAATAGAAATAATTCCAACAAAGGCACAACAAATGGCCGACCACCAAGTGGTGCTTCGTCCAATGGCCGTCCATCCTCTGATTTAGCCTCGAAAGAAAATGGCTGGGTCAGCAGTAAAGCAGAGAAGTCAAGGTACGAGAAAAGTTTGTCTGTACTCTTCAGTGTGGTCATCTTCAAATGTCTCCTGTTACTGTCATATTAAGATCAAAGTCTTCTGACTGAAACATCGTCAACATCCAATAATTTGACTCATCATGTCCATTATTCTGGAGAATGGATTTTTTTTATTTCATTTCTGAAAAAAAAAGTAGAAATAGAGGAAAAAACCATTGATGACCAGTTATGAACTGTTTCCATTGAATTATTGAAGAAAGACAAGAATTCATTAATTTATTGATAATTATGTTAAATATTATACAATTTTGGAATTTAATGATGATAAATATGATGTGACATACACTTGCAAAAGAAAATGTAAACTGGGACTATGCTGAGATAAGTACCACCTTTCAGATTCATATTACTTAAAATTTACTATCACAGAAGTCTTTTGTGTAATAGGAGATGGATGTACGACCAGACAAGGAAATAGTATTCATTGATATTTCAGTGAACAGGTAGAGGGCAATTATGCCAAATCAACAATGTATTCGAATTATTTAACTACCAGGTGATTGAGGTCTTGAGAAATTATAAAGCATTGTAAATTATAATTTTAACACATCAGCACTTTCTTCCTTTCTTATTTCTTTGAAAAAGCTTGGATAAGATTGTATTTTCTCATAAATTTTGTTTGGGGAACATATGTGGAATGTAAAACAAGGCAAAACAGTTAGCTCAATGTTAGTTCATTGTAGTAGGAAAGAGCCCAACACAGAGGATGATGATGAGTGTGAGTCTAAACCTACACAGAACAGTGACCAGAAGGAGCAAGGCCTGGCCAGTGAACGTCGAAACCTTCGTCGACATCTGTATGAGGCCGGTGTGTTCTACTGTGTAACACCACTACTTACAGTCTCTGACCACCTCTGTCAGGTAAAGCACCATCCATTACAAGGAATATTGTAGTTAATAGGAGTGCTAGGTGTTTGTGTGATTTGAATTGATTGATTTAAAACAGCCAGAGAACAGATACAAAGTTATTTAGGACTGCAGTCATTACTGATACATTTAATAAATTCAAAGAATATGATCTGAAGGAGGTAAAGTTCGAAAACAGGATGAGTACTAACAGGACAATGCAGGTTATTGTCGTCAAGATAAAAGTTTGGTGGAGTCGTATCAAAAAACCATATTCATCAGGAATACTAACTCATTGATGTGTACATGTCCGAAACATTTTACTGCTAATATGTGGTGTTTTAATGGAGCTGATAAAGTATTTGTATGTATTGTGATTAACAAATCTGCATCTGGAGGAGGCATTTGATTTTACAAATAAAAACTGAAATGATGAATTTGTTTTTACAGTTTTTATGAATTGCACTTGTATTTCCTGTTTGCAGTGTTGGACACCATTACTTTAGGATATGGATGATCTTGTGTTGAGTGAGATAAGGTCACATATTAAATTGTTTATTTTTACCTGCACTTTTCTTTAACACCTACTTAATTAGATATATCCAAATATTACATATACTTAAACATATGATAAAAGATGTCCTGTGATAAATGTGTATGTTGGAATTTCAATTTGTTTTATGGAAATATAAATGTTTTCTTTATAGATAAGTTTAATAATCATAAATTTTGATACATAATCTAGTGTTCACTTCTGGAAAACTGATGTGTTAAAAGGGTTACCTTTATGTAAACTGATTCCCAATTATAAAAAAATCTTGGATATTTAAAGTAAGATTTGATAGCATAAATGCCTATTCATTCATATTCACCTTCTTTGTATAAATTTCCTTTTTATAATTTTTTTCTTTCACCTATATCCACGCATGTAAAATGATAAGTAAATCACCAGTAAGTCCCTTCCTTTATATCATCTCCTGTCTAAACACAAGGTTCCGTGGATAATCTGAATGTACAGTGATATTATATGTGTGCATGTTTTATAAATCACACTTTCTCTTGTTATTTTCACCAAAAGTTTTATCCAGAATTTCACAGCTCTGTTGATTTGCTTCTATTTTCTGTCTACTGTGAATATTACAGTCCAACGTGATGCTTTTGAGTAGTTATACTAATTGTCAAAATATGAAACATGACTATTTGTTCTTGAGTGCAGCACTTTTCTGATTTGAATTGTACTTTAAACACAGCCACAACATTTAAAAGGTCTCCTTTGATGCTATAGACTAGTTTTCAGTGGAAGTAAAAGTTGATAGGAAGCTGGTCCTGTTTAAGTTTTAAGATTTAAAGGTAGAGCAAGCTGTGGATGTAATTTCTAGTGAAGAGCTATAAATAGTTACCTAATGTATTTTGACTTTTTCAGAAAGGGGTAAATCCTGTACAATTATTGGGATTAATCTTATACATATACTGTATATATATAAGCATACTGCTAACCACATGTTAGATAGGGATTTGAAGTTTTAATCTTTCTCTTTCAGTGTAGAATAACTAAAAAAATATGTAAATATTATGATACGTTTTTAAAATTCATTTGTTACATTGCCTGGTAAGTCAATTAAAGTTGTAAATTTTATACAATTGGTATAATGATGAGGGTTCGGTAACAAAGGAGAATTACCTCAGAGAGGTTGGGAACTCCAGAACATGTACAGGTTTTGTGGAGACTAAATATATCATCAGCTCTTGGGGAAACATCCTGTCAGTTCAACACTTGTCTAAACCAGATCCTCTCAGATCAGTGGATTATGTCACCAGAGATCAGCGTTAAGTGCTGTGGTATTAACTCTTACAGACAGTATTGAAAATATTATACAATGATGCATCTTCCTGGACATATAGATTAGACACATCATCCTGGACATATAGATTAGACACATCTTCCTGGACATATAGATTAGACACATCTTCCTGGACATATGGATTAGACACATCTTCCTGGACATATAGATTAGACACATCTTCCTGGACATATAGATTAGACACATCTTCCTGGACATATAGATTAGACACATCTTCCTGGACATATAGATTAGACACATCTTCCTGGACATATAGATTAGACACATCTTCCTGGACATATAGATTAGACACATCTTCCTGGACATATAGATTAGACACATCTTCCTGGACATATAGATTAGACACATCTTCCTGGACATGTAGATTAGACACATCTTCCTGGACATATAGATTAGACACATCTTCCTGGACATATAGATTAGACACATCTTCCTGGACATATGGATTAGACACATCTTCCTGGACATATAGATTAGACACATCTTCCTGGACATATAGATTAGACACATCTTCCTGGACATATAGATTAGACACATCTTCCTGGACATATAGATTAGACACATCTTCCTGGACATATAGATTAGACACATCTTCCTGGAGACATAGATTTTATTTATATATATATATATCGTAATAATCATTGTTGTGGCAGGTTCTGGCATGTCAGATCTTGAGATGTAACATACAACCTGTGGAGGAGAAGATCTTATTCCCTTCATCCAAGGCAATGCGCAGAAGGTAAGCTTCGTATACACCCTCTGTGGAGGTTCATGGATTTAGCAGGAGAAATAGTTGGTTCTGTCTTGTGAAAGTGATGAATGGAGTCACAGATTTAGAAATGCTTCACATCATTGATTAACAGGTGCTAAAAAAAATCTCTAAGGATTCTTTCTGTTCATTCTACACATATGTAGCTTTTCAATGCTTTTGCAAAGATATTTTTTAATATTTCTCTTCACCATGGAAAATGAAATAATGGTATTGTACTTGCATCTTGAAGTATATTGATTTTTACACATAGATACTGATGAAGAAGTATCTAGATTTAAATATGAACTGTTACAGGCCACATTCAGCTGTGAACAGGAAAGACATGGAAAAGAAACTAAATGTGGCTTTACACCAGATGTCTCCAGACTTCGCTGTCATCATAAAGGAAGCAATCGGGCCCCGCCCTGGATCAGCTCATCCTGCCTTCAGTGTGTCCTCAGGATCAGGTGATACTGACGACACTATGACTGTTAGCTCCACCTCAGGAGATGGTATTGATGACCCGGAGACTGCAGCCCGATTGGCTGATTGTAAGATGATGAGATTTTTAATTAGTATAGGTCTGGGTTAAAAAATATCATGATTGTAATGAAGAATAAACATCCAATTACCTATATGCGAAATTTCTCAAACTGTTGTCTTCCTTAATAATTGATTCATATTAAAATTCTGTAAATTTTACTTAGAACAGGTATTAGCATATTCATCTCGAAAATAGGAAAGTTAATTAAATATCCCATTTTTTTCCTATGTTACATGGTTTTTAAAAAATGCAGCTATTTTGTTACAGATATGGAACAAAGTAAGAAAACAGAGAAAATAAAAAAGTCTGTGGACTTTGGTATACCAGTGACAGGCCCCACTCTTGACCCTCGACAATCCATGGCTCAGCAATGTCGCCAGCTCCTGGTCAAGGAGGCTGGCCACAGAGTGATTTCTGGTGTGTTCACCGCCCCCAAACCAAACCGCTGTCATTTCATCTCCCTCATATATGACATCGTACATTTAGGAGATGTAAGTTACATCTTATTTACACAAGTAGACATAAATGATTTCATATCTCTCAGGAAAAGCAAACAAAAATCAGACAATACTTACACAGAGATAGCAATTAATGCTCAAGTAATACAGTTTCTCGTATACAGGAGTATGGTGTTACAGTGGATTATAATTGTAATATGTAGGCTACCCAAGTTAATATTTCATCTGAGATTTATGAAATAAAAATGGTGTTTCTCTGATTATCAAAAATGATTAGTTTATTTAATGCAATATCAAAAAGAAATTGAAGTGGATTTCATACCCTTGTAATGACAAGATCACAATGTTTTGGAAATATTACAAGAACTCATTTATAAACATCTTAGATCCACAATAATGGTTGAATTCCATGGAGACATAAACATAAGAACTAAAAATCTGCATATCATTTAATAATATTTGATGACTTCACAACAGGTCATGTCATTTGATTTAATAAGAGCTTCATTGATTAATATTGAATCTCACAACAGAAACACATTTATCAAATATTGTGATAGGTATGGTGGCATCATATTAGTCTTTCTTGAGATACAAAATTGTAGATATTAGCAAACTTTATGCTTAATATGGTATTTCTTTTAGAAGAGTGATGCAGGGTGATCTTAATAACTTGTATAGAAATAAAAAAAATCAATTACAAGAGAATCTATGTGTGTGTTTTACTGAAAGATATACTTAATGTAAATGTTTATCTACAAATGAAAAAAATGGTACCAAAATGTACAGGACTACATGTTATTTCCACACAGCACGAACTACACATGAAGTTAGCAGAGTTTGGGTGTATGCAAAAATTATTGGACTTCATCAGAGTGAACACAGAAAGTGAACTTTTGGAAATAATAGGTATGTGTACACACTAACATAGAGAGGGAACTTCTGGAAATAGTAGGTATGTATACACACCGACACAAAGAGTGAACTTCTGGAAATAATAGGTATGTATACACACCAACACATAGAGTGAACTTCTGGAAATAATAGGTATGTATACACACCAACACATAGAGTGAACTTCTGGAAATAATAGGTATGTATATACACTACACTAACATAGAGAGGGCACTTCTGGAAATAATAGGTATGTGTACACACTAACATAGAGAGGGAACTTCTGGAAATAATAGGTACGTGTACACACTAACATAGAGAGGGAACTTCTGGAAATAATAGGTATGTATACACACCAACACATAGAGTGAACTTCTGGAAATAATAGGTACGTGTACACACTAACATAGAGAGGGAACTTCTGGAAATAATAGGTATGTATATACACTACACTAACATAAAGAGGGAACTTCTGGAAATAATAGGTATTTGAACAAACTTACACAGGTAGTGAACTTCTGGAAATGAAATGTATAATACTTACCAGTAGAGAGAGTGAACTTCTGGAGATCTATGATATGATTTATACAGAAGGTTAAATTCTGGAGATCACTGATATGATTTGTATTGAAGGTTAAATTCTGAAGATCATTGATATAGTTTTTACAGAAGGTTAAATTCTGGAGATCACTGGTTTGATTTTTACAGAAGGTTAAATTCTGGAGATCACTGGTTTGATTTTTACAGAAGGTTAAATTCTGGAGATCACTGGTTTGATTTTTACAGAAGGTTAAATTCTGGAGATCATTGATATAGTTTTTACAGAAGGTTAAATTCTGAAGATCATTGATATAGTTTTTACAGAAGGTTAAATTCTGGAGATCATTGATATAGTTTTTACAGAAGGTTAAATTCTGAAGATCATTGATATAGTTTTTACAGAAGGTTAAATTCTGGAGATCACTGGTTTGATTTTTACAGAAGGTTAAATTCTGGAGATCACTGGTTTGATTTTTACAGAAGGTTAAATTCTGGAGATCACTGGTTTGATTTTTACAGAAGGTTAAATTCTGGAGATCACTGGTTTGGTTTTTACAGAAGGTTAAATTCTGAAGATCATTGATATAGTTTTTACAGAAGGTTAAATTCTGGAGATCATTGATATAGTTTTTACAGAAGGTTAAATTCTGGAGATCATTGATATAGTTTTTACAGAAGGTTAAATTCTGGAGATCACTGGTTTGATTTTTACAGAAGGTTAAATTCTGGAGATCATTGATATAGTTTTTACAGAAGGTTAAATTCTGGAGATCACTGGTTTGGTTTTTACAGAAGGTTAAATTCTGAAGATCATTGATATAGTTTTTACAGAAGGTTAAATTCTGGAGATCATTGATATACAGAAGGTTAAATTTGAGACAGAAGGTTAAATTCTGAGATCATTGATATAGATCACTGGTTTGATTTTTACAGAAGGTTAAATTCTGGAGATCATTGATATAGTTTTTACAGAAGGTTAAATTCTGGAGATCACTGGTTTGATTTTTACAGAAGGTTAAATTCTGGAGATCACTGGTTTGATTTTTACAGAAGGTTAAATTCTGGAGATCATTGATATAGTTTTTACAGAAGGTTAAATTCTGGAGATCACTGGTTGATGATTTTTACAGAAGGTTAAATTCTGGAGATCATTGATATAGTTTTTACAGAAGGTTAAATTCTGGAGATCATTGATATAGTTTTTACAGAAGGTTAAATTCTGGAGATCATTGATATAGTTTTTACAGAAGGTTAAATTCTGGAGATCATTGATATAGTTACAGAAGGTTAAATTCTGGAGATCACTGGTTTGATTTTTACAGAAGGTTAAATTCTGGAGATCATTGATATAGTTTTTACAGAAGGTTAAATTCTGGAGATCACTGTTTGATTTTTACAGAAGGTTAAATTCTGGAGATCATTGATATAGTTTTTACTGGTTTGATTTTTACAGAAGTTAAAGAGATCATTGATATAGTTTTTACAGAAGGTTAAATTCTGGAGATCACTGGTTTGATTTTTACAGAAGGTTAAATTCTGGAGATCTGGAGATCATTGATATAGTTTTTACAGAAGGTTAAATTCTGGAGATCATTGATATAGAGAAGGTTAAATGGAGATCACTGGTTTGATTTTTACAGAAGGTTAAATTCTGTTTGAGATCACTGGTTTGATTTTTACAGAAGGTTAAATTCTGGAGATCATTGATATAGTTTTTACAGAAGGTTAAATTCTGGAGATCATTGATATAGTTTTTACAGAAGGTTAAATTCTGGAGATCACTGGTTTGATTTTTACAGAAGGTTAAATTCTGGAGATCATTGATATAGTTTTTACAGAAGGTTAAATTCTGGAGATCACTGGTTTGATTTTTACAGAAGGTTAAATTCTGATCACTTGTTTGATTTTTACAGAAGGTTAAATTCTGGAGATCATTGATATAGTTTTTACAGAAGGTTAAATTCTGGAGATCATATGGTTTGATTTTTACAGAAGTTAAATTCTGGAGATCACTGATATGTTAAATTCTGGAGATCATTGATATAGTTTTTACAGAAGGTTAAATTCTGGAGATCATTGATATGTTTTGTATTGAAGGTTAAATTCTGGAGATCATTGATATAGTTTTTACAGAAGGTTAAATTCTGGAGATCACTGATATGTTTTTACAGAAGGTTAAATTCTGGAGATCACTGGTTTGATTTTTACAGAAGGTTAAATTCTGGAGATCACTGATATGATTTGTATTGAAGGTTAAATTCTGGAGATCATTGATATAGTTTTTACAGAAGGTTAAATTCTGGAGATCACTGGTTTGGTTTTTACAGAAGGTTAAATTCTGGAGATCACTGATATAGTTTGATTTTTACAGAAGGTTAAATTCTGGAGATCATTGATATGATTTTTACAGAAGGTTAAATTCTGGAGATCATTGGAGATCATTCTGGAGATTTGATATATTTTTACAGAAGGTTAAATTCTGGAGATCACTGATATGATTTGTATTGAAGGTTTTTACATTGATATAGTTTTTACAGAAGGTTAAATTCTGATAGATTTGTATTGAAGGTTAAATTCTGGAGATCATTGATATAGTTTTTACAGAAGGTTAAATTCTGGAGATACTGGTTTGATTTTTACAGAAGGTTAAATTCTGGAGATCATTGATATAGTTTTTACAGAAGGTTAAATTCTGGAGATCACTGGTTTGATTTTTACAGAAGGTTAAATTCTGGAGATCACTGGTTTGATTTTTACAGAAGGTTAAATTCTGGAGATCACTGATATGATTTGTATTGAAGGTTAAATTCTGGAGATCATTGATATAGTTTTTACAGAAGGTTAAATTCTGGAGATCATTGATATGATTTGTATTGAAGGTTAAATTCTGGAGATCATTGATATAGTTTTTACAGAAGGTTAAATTCTGGAGATCATTGATATAGTTTTTACAGAAGGTTAAATTCTGGAGATCATTGATATAGTTTTTACAGAAGGTTAAATTCTGGAGATCACTGGTTTGATTTTTACAGAAGGTTAAATTCTGGAGATCACTGGTTTGATTTTTACAGAAGGTTAAATTCTGAAGATCATTGATATAGTTTTTACAGAAGGTTAAATTCTGGAGATCATTGATATAGTTTTTACAGAAGGTTAAATTCTGGAGATCACTGGTTTGATTTTTACAGAAGGTTAAATTCTGGAGATCACTGATATGATTTGTATTGAAGGTTAAATTCTGGAGATCATTGATATAGTTTTTACAGAAGGTTAAATTCTGGAGATCATTGATATGATTTGTATTGAAGGTTAAATTCTGGAGATCATTGATATAGTTTTTACAGAAGGTTAAATTCTGGAGATCACTGGTTTGGTTTTTACAGAAGGTTAAATTCTGGAGATCACTGGTTTGATTTTTACAGAAGGTTAAATTCTGGAGATCACTGATATGATTTGTATTGAAGGTTAAATTCTGGAGATCATTGATATAGTTTTTACAGAAGGTTAAATTCTGGAGATCACTGATATGATTTGTTTTTACAGAAGGTTAAATTCTGGAGATCATTGATATGATTTTTACAGAAGGTTAAATTCTGGAGATCACTGATATGATTTGTATTGAAGGTTAAATTCTGGAGATCATTGATATAGTTTTTACAGAAGGTTAAATTCTGGAGATCACTGATATGATTTGTATTGAAGGTTAAAGAGATCATTGATATAGTTTTTACAGAAGGTTGGAGATCAGAAGGTTAAATTCTGGAGATCATTGATATAGTTTTTACAGAAGGTTAAATTCTGGAGATCAATGGTTTGATTTTTACAGAAGGTTAAATTCTGGAGATCACTGGTTTGATTTTTACAGAAGGTTAAATTCTGGAGATCACTGATATGATTTGTATTGAAGGTTAAATTCTGGAGATCATTGATATAGTTTTTACAGAAGGTTAAATTCTGGAGATCATTGATATAGTTTTTACAGAAGGTTAAATTCTGGAGATCATTGATATGATTTGTATTGAAGGTTAAATTCTGGAGATCATTGATATGATTTGTATTGAAGGTTAAATTCTGGAGATCATTGATATAGTTTTTACAGAAGGTTAAATTCTGGAGATCATTGATATGATTTTTACAGAAGGTTAAATTCTGGAGATCATTGATATAGTTTTTACAGAAGGTTAAATTCTGTAGATCATTGATATAGTTTTTACAGAATAAACTGATATGTTTGATTTTTACAGAAGGTTAAATTCTGGAGATCACTGGTTTGATTTTTACAGAAGGTTAAATTCTGGAGATCATTGATATAGTTTTTACAGAAGGTTAAATTCTGGAGATCACTGGTTTGATTTTTACAGAAGGTTAAATTCTGGAGATCATTGATATAGTTTTTACAGAAGGTTAAATTCAGATCACTGGTTTGATTTTTACAGAAGGTTAAATTCTGGAGATCACTGGTTTGATTTTTACAGAAGGTTAAATTCTGGAGATCACTGATATGATTTGTATTGAAGGTTAAATTCTGGAGATCATTGATATAGTTTTTACAGAAGGTTAAATTCTGGAGATCACTGATATGATTTGTATTGAAGGTTAAATTCTGGAGATCACTGGTTTGATTTTTACAGAAGGTTAAATTCTGGAGATCACTGGTTTGATTTTTACAGAAGGTTAAATTCTGGAGATCACTGGTTTGATTTTTACAGAAGGTTAAATTCTGGAGATCACTGGTTTGATTTTTACAGAAGGTTAAATTCTGGAGATCATTGATATAGTTTTTACAGAAGGTTAAATTCTGGAGATCACTGATATGATTTGTATTGAAGGTTAAATTCTGGAGATCATTGATATAGTTTTTACAGAAGGTTAAATTCTGGAGATCACTGATATGATTTGTATTGAAGGTTAAATTCTGGAGATCACTGATATGATTTGTATTGAAGGTTAAATTCTGGAGATCTATGATATGATTTTTACAGAAGATAAAATTCTGGAGATCACTGGTTTGATTTTTACAGAAGGTTAAATTCTGGAGATCACTGATATGATTTGTATTGAAGGTTAAATTCTGGAGATCATTGATATAGTTTTTACAGAAGGTTAAATTCTGGAGATCACTGATATGATTTGTATTGAAGGTTAAATTCTGGAGATCATTGATATAGTTTTTACAGAAGGTTAAATTCTGGAGATCACTGGTTTGATTTTTACAGAAGGTTAAATTCTGGAGATCACTGGTTTGATTTTTACAGAAGGTTAAATTCTGGAGATCACTGGTTTGATTTTTACAGAAGGTTAAATTCTGGAGATCACTGGTTTGATTTTTACAGAAGGTTAAATTCTGGAGATCACTGGTTTGATTTTTACAGAAGGTTAAATTCTGGAGATCATTGATATAGTTTTTACAGAAGGTTAAATTCTGGAGATCATTGATATAGTTTTTACAGAAGGTTAAATTCTGGAGATCACTGGTTTGATTTTTACAGAAGGTTAAATTCTGGAGATCATTGATATAGTTTTTACAGAAGGTTAAATTCTGGAGATCACTGGTTTGATTTTTACAGAAGGTTAAATTCTGGAGATCTATGATATGATTTTTACAGAAGATAAAATTCTGGAGTTCACTGGTATGTATTTTCACTGTGAGTGAACTTCTGGATTAAGTCTATCAGTTAATACATACATGTTGCACATTGATAAACATATCAATAAACATATGATAAGTTTTATGTAAGTAGCAAGTTTAACTCCCTATAGACACATAAACTAGTGGCTGTACCAGAGTATAACACTATCTCTAGAACAATAACAAACAAACATGTCCACAAAATCATGGTTTAAACTCAAAGTCAATGAAACAAGGGCAAATTATGGACAAATGAAAGATTTACTTTGAGAATTACAAAAATGCACAAGGAGAACAAAACAAGGTGTTATGTAAGGGTGTCTTCTGTATCATCAGCAACACCCGCTCCGTAAGTGTTGGTTAGTTCACGAAATGAGTGTCATGTTCCTAAATGCTAAAAACAGTGAAGAAAATACCCACATCTTAATCTTAATTCAAACTCAAATTTGGTATCTCCTGATCATAAAATCAGATGTTCCAGGAGGGTAAGCATTTTCTGCTTTACTGACGACACATACCGCCATGTAAATCTTGGTAATGTTCAAGTATATAAGGTCATGTTGTCAATCAAGGTTGTAACAATGGAACCACCTGGCAACATAACAGTCATAATAACTGTTGTGTGTTTGTTTCCAGGATTGATCATTATCCAGATGCTGATTAAGAGTGACCCACGCTTGAGACAAATATTTGAACGCCATGGCGGCACCAGACTGATGATGACCATGATGTCTAAGTACAATAGTGGACCTCTGAGGGACGAAATCAAAAACACCATGAGAGCAGTGTCCAGTACTGGTCAGTGTTATCTCCTGTCAGTGGTCAATAGTTTTAATTAGGCAGCCATCAAACATTTAATCTTTGTTAACTTTATTAGGTTTATACTGAAGTTAAATGCTTTGATATTAATATTGGTCAATAATAAGATTCTCATTGGCCTTACTTTGGTAGCATGATAGGTACTTCCATTGTAGAAGTAGCATGATAGGTACTTCCATTGTAGAAATATTATTTGATGTTTTATTTTGAAGAAAATATATAAAATGTTAACCATCTATTTACAGGTATCACTGCTCAGCCTACACGAGCCAAGCCTGTGGACAAGGGGAGACTACCCCCAGATGTGTGGGATCAGGTAGGACTGATTTAATGTTAGAAAATTTAATACACCAGAGTTTGTATCAATACAAGCATTATACAGGTAGTATAGTTAGTTTGATCATTATATCCCTGAATTTGTATCAGGAAAACCCAGAACTTAAACTGTAATACTAACAGCTCTTTTTCAAAGCTGTCTTTCTAGATTCAAATTTTAAAACCTTACCAAGTGATTTGACTGCTCTGTCATCATCATCTACATTGAAATATCAGCATTATTCAAAAGCAAACTAAGGACTTGACCACTGTGTCTATACATGTACTGGTATATGGTGTAACACAGCACATATTACATAGCAGCAGGGATGTATTTATTGAAAACTGAGATTCATTGAAGTAAACATATTCCAATGTAAGGCTTTCATATCAATCAATATTTACCAGAAAGGTATCAAAGTTTGTTTTTAGGGATATTTTTTCATAAAAGTTTATGTTTTCATTGTCAGATACAATTGAGGTGGAAAGATGAAGATAAGGTGAAGACAGTGCTACGCAACTGGAGAAGTGATGGTAAGAGGTGACGACAACAGCCAAGTGACACAGACTACATGGAGTCTCACTACAGATGGGTTTCTTGTTTAAGAGATCCAATATATCACCTTTCCTATGACATTGCTTTGATCTTTTCAATCACGCATCATTGATTGTATTCTTGATTACCTGGAGATAATTAGCAATACATTCCTGATCTAGATTATACCACTTTGATTTTACAATAATCTGCAATATTTATAATTTATTTATTTATTTCAATAATCAAAATCAAATTATTTATTCAGTGTAAAATAACTTATGAATCAAGTACATAGCACCTATTTATTTACATCAAGCTTAAAATTTGTTTTGTACTTTTTCACAGAAGGTATTTATTAGATTAGAGACATGATACTATTTATCTAAATGCGTATGATATATATAAAGTCTTTCTTGAAATATTTTACATATCAAAATGTGCATTTATTCATTTTCAATTTAAATAACATTGATCCCATTTTGTTCCTGTTTTGTATTAATATTGATAATATAATATTTTCATTTGGTTGCATTTAAATTGTCAAACACATTCAATAATAATATAATAATAATTTTTACTATGCAATTTTGCTATTGAATTGTATAGATGTCTTTAATTAATGTTACAATTACTTTTTTTTAAATTAAATTTACCATGGTTTTGACTTTTTTTTACATTAAAATTCACTTAAATTTTTTGGGGGTGAAGTATACATTTCTCTCATTTTGTATATGTAATTAATATATATGTTGCAACAATTTAATACAGAAATTTTTGTCATCTTGCTGCTGCAGTTAATCATGTTTGGATTTGGGAAAGATGTGGTAGCCCATATGTATCACAATATCGTTATTTTGTCTTTAATGTTTTTCTGTGGTTATAAGCAACCAGACAGTTTTGATAGGAGCCGACTGAGTACGAACAGTGGATGATTACATTTTCACAAATTTTACCATGTTTTGATCTTATGTATACAGGATTCTTATTCTCTCTCTCTCTCTCTCTCTCTCTCTCTCTCTCTCTCTCTCTCTCTCTCTCTCTCTCTCTCTATATATATATATATATATATATATATATATATACACCCTATAGTCCTTATGTTATCTTGTGGCTCTTTGTCTCTATGAACATAAAATCTGTCACTATCACTTGCCTTTGAAAAAAAAGTTAAATATCTGTAGATGTTTTCAATATTGTTACTAATTGTTACACCAAATTATTGTGACATCAAATCATTTTTTCTTGGGAAACTAAATTTTATGAAACATTGAAGGTGATTTAACATGACTTTATAGAGTTTTTTCTTTACAAATTTGAAAATGAAAACATTGCAACTTGCAGATCAATATTAAAGACAGGTTGTCATACATGGTATCTAGTCAACATATTACAACGCTATGATATTACTCTAACACAAGCTACATCTTGCCACATGCATATCAACTTTTATCAATGTAAATGAGATACCTAATTTCAATACCTTATCAATTAGCACTCTACACTGATTGATGAAGGGTTTCTGCACAGTATTGAAATGAAACAGCTCTCTACACTTTGATTGGTCAATAGTTTCTGCACTGTATTGAAATGAAACAGCACTCTTCACTTTGATTGGTCAATAGTTTCTGCACTGTATTGAAATCAAACAGCACTAGATATTATCCAATGTGATGGAAATTCTACCACATACGAAGGGACATAACCCCTTAATCAATATACCATGGTTTCTATCTTTGAAAGGATTTATCATGAGTAATTTGATCAAAATTGAGAACAGAATGTTACTCCTACAATGTAAAAAAGGTTAGGTGATTTGACTAACAAACAAATTATTTCAGGGAAACTTCTTGTTAAAATGTTAAATTTATGACTTAAATATCATGATATAATAACAAACCATCATCTTCAGATGTTTTATTATTAAAAACCATTTGATCAACAATTATTCATCATCGGTGACTGAAGCCACCGTAAAGTAAACTTTGATATGGAACTCTGATATAAATTATAGAATTTTATGGTAGTGATCACTAGACAAAAGAATATCCTAATCTAAAACCACATATAGTATTGCATGCATAGCATTGTTGTCAAATTTAAGTATCATTGATTGATTTACTGGTTTGATTTTCAAATTCCATAGAAAATTCTCTAAATTGAAAAAAAAACAAAATGACAACTAACCTGGTTGTGAATGTTTATGATAAAATGTAGAATCTACAGTGAGTACTTGGTGGGATTTTCTCTTGATAAATGTGTAACTAATTGAAGATTCCCTGTGATTTAATGAATTTTACTTTATATATCCTTGTAACATTCACACTACCTGTAATGATATTATCTGTGATTTTAAGCAGAAGTGAGAAACATTCATGTAGTATTTGGTAATTTAGAAAAACATCATTTTTGATGTCAATTTTCAGTATTTCAAATATCTAAAAACTTTTGTATATTTGTTTTCTTTTATTATGTACAATTTTTAGTTCCAGCATGGGTCAAAACTTGAATCTCAGTTATTTACTTTAAAATGTGAATTTGCAGTAGTGCATGGTAGTTTTATATAAAAAAAACCTGTTTTAGCCAAAACAAGTACATATCTACATACACATGTGTAATTTAATTTAAGTGCCATTACTGAAGTGAAATGTACAGATAGATGACTTAAGTGATATTGTACAGTTTACCTGTCATCTAGCTGATAGATCAAAATATTGTTATTTTGTCTGAAATGTTTTCCGTGGTTATAACCACCAAGGCAGTTTTGACTGGAGCCGACTGAGTAAGAACATTTGATGATTAACATCAATTTTACATCAAATGCTATACTGTAGTCAAGATTTGTCCAAGTTGATAAATTTGTGCTATTTCTTATTTCATATTTATCTGGTATATGTTAACCTCTGAATTTTAAGTGCTGTGATACTCAAGATGGATGCCATATCAGCCATTTTGAAAATTTCTTTGCCGTTTCTCCTTCAGGAAGTATGATGATACTAACATTAAAGCTGGTTTATTACAATGTAATGGCTTCTACAGGTACATAAAATGTTTGCCCAATTGTCATCTGAAATAGCTAGCCACCATGGCAGCCATCTTGAAAACCTGTCGCTAACTCTTCTAAACTGAATGTTATATGGAGACTTTCAGAAATGAATTATATCTGGTCCATCTTTGATTTAATTGTTGGATATATTCATGAATCATCATGGCAGCTAAGGGAACTAAATTGAATGTATTGTTACTGTTAGATCTCCAGAATGGAGGAAGACTTCCACGAGTGAGTAGGATATACATTATCCTAAATGAAATCCAGGCCCACCTCCCATACAATATTACTGTGATGGTTGCTATCTTCAAAACTTGTTGTTATAAGATGGAAAATTGAATTGATGCATGGCTTTCATTAATGAGTCACATATTATCTGTCGACGCTTCTAACCAAAATTCTGATATGAATAACATCGAAATTTACCACCTTGGCAGCCGTCATAGAACTTGGTGGTGAAGTTTGTTCTTTCTACTTGTCTGGAAGTATATAATTGATTTTCTTAAATTTCAAATGTACTTTATATTGCCTTAGTTCTTTATATTTAGTTCTAACATGTGTTGGAAAAACAAAATTGTTTTAGTTTAACAACTGAGTATTTGTTATTACTGTTGAAAATACTGGATTGGTCTTTGACATTCATATGTAGATTCTTGTTGGTAGTTATTGTGCATGTTTTATTTCTAGACTGTTCTGAAAAACAAAATGGAAATGAATCTTGCTTGCTAACTTCTGGTCTACCTGCTTAATCCTAGACTTTTGTGTTTGGTACTTGTCTTGGGTTTGATGTTTTTCACATTTAAGATTTCCTTTGAGTTATGTTTAATTTAAATATTACTTTCTTTTTTATCATCATACTTCACTCAGTTATGACCAGATCATCAATGAAACTCTGGAACACACACGCTGATAGCCTTTAATTATATTAGAACCGCTTTTCCTTGACATTCTATATTAAACATGAAGCTGAGAAGTCAACCTTGATTTTATGTTCATCATTAGCTCTGCTGTGTTTTAACATGTCAAACAAGTTTTTTGCATCTTTTACGAAAAGAAATAACACAATAAACTGGTGTAATAGTCATGTGTGTTCTTTGTTCTGATAATTGTATCGTGTTTTGGCACAGGTTTACCCAGAGACATTATATTTGTAGAGATGTGCCAGCTTCCTCTCTCCCCTACACCCATTCCCTTCGTTGAGAATATGTACATATATGTTGCAAGTCCATTATAACACTAATTGCTTCTATGTTAAGCAAGACTTTTGACATTGTTATCCATGTTACTTTTTATCACAAGCTTTTGATTAGATATACTGTAAGTCAGTGATTAGGTGAAAGTAGTAACTAAAAAGCTCTAGATCTTGTTCCCTCTTGGCTTCTGTGAGATCATAGCATACTATTCTGCAAGCTTGTGTTCAACACTGATGAGTGTATGAGTTTGGACCTATCACTCCATCTAACGTCCTGGGTGACAATGTTCCTATTGATGCTTACTGGACACATAGAGCTACATTTAGTGACTAAAGTGATGATCATCAGCACTGCCCTGTGCTGTCAAACCTGTCAAGGAGGCAGAGATAACTGACCTTTAAAGACAGGTGGCTTTTATACAGAGGTTTATGATGTTATATAGGGAAGATCTTTATATACAGGTTTTTGTTATATAGGGATGATCTTTATATACAGGTTTGGTTATATAGGGGCAATCTTTATAAACAGCCTTTGTTCTATAGGGATGGTCTTTCTATACAGGTTTTGTTCTATAGGGATGGTCTTTCTATACAGGTTTTGTTCTATAGGGTTGGTCTTTCTATACAGGTTTTGTTATATAGGGGCAATCTTTATAATCAGCTTTTGTTCTATATGGATGGTCTTTCTATACAGGTTTTATTCTATAGGGATGGTCTTTCTATACAGGTTTTGTTACATAGGGGCAATCTTTATAAACAGCCTTTGTTCTATAGGGATGGTCTTTCTATACAGGTTTTATTCTATAAGGATGGTCTTTCTATACAGCTTTTGTTCTATATGGATGGTATTTCTATACAGGTTTTATTCTATAG